GGTGCTCATCATCATCCTATAACACTGCGTGTCATTGGGTCAACAGTTTCTGTTGACTGTCTGATCAGCTCTCTAAAACCTTTGGTGGTCATTTGCGATGGACTTCATGGTTGCCTGCCTGAGACCTGTCTAGTCAGTCAGGTTCTGTAACCAGGTCTTTCTTGGTCTGCCTTTTCTCCTCTTTCCCTCTACTGAGCCCTGTAGTATTGTTTTTGAGAGGCCGTTAGATCTTATTGCAAGTCCATACCATTGCATTTTTCGCCTTTTCACTAATTTAATGAAGTTCATAGTTGCCAATGTGCTGTATAATTATATAGCGAACCTCTTTGTATTGTCGTCTCTGTATGATATAGCATGAATGTTTCTGAAAAAATCACATTTCTAATGCTTGTACCTTCCTTTCAAATTCAGCTGTAAAGGTCTATGTTTCACAGCCATATGAAAATTTACTAATAGCTAGTGATCTGAGCAGTGGAATCTTTGTTTTGTATGAAATGTTTTTGGATCTCCACAATGTTTGCTGTTTAGCAAGGACTGGTGTTTTCTGGGCAATCCTAGACATGACTTAAGGTCTTGAAAATAGATCCAGATATTTGAAAGGATTGACTTGTTCTAATTTATGACCTTTAACATACACTGATGAAGTTATGCCAGCTGGATTATTAGTCATCACTTTTTTTTCCTGCGTTTATTTCCATGCCATACTTAGTTGATGTTTCATCGAGCAGATTAAAAAGTTTGACTTGTTCTTGTTCTTCCCCGGTCAATCCATTGATGTCATCTGCAAACCTTAAGTTTGTTACAGTTCAACGTCCTATGTTCTATGATGTTGTCCTAGAGCGTCAGTCGTAATTATAACTAAGAAGATTAGGGGGCTGCATGGTCTCGAGGCATGGTGTTCGCCTCGAGTGCTAGAGGTTCCGGGTTCAATTCCCGTAAGGGCTGGGAATATTTCATGTGAACTTGGACTTCTAGTAATTTCCCCTGGTCTCTGGGTAGTAAGATCGGACGCCCGTGTGCATTATTGCGCACGTAAAAAAAATCCCTTGGCAGTTGGAAATCGGAAAAAATAGCCTAACGGCGCAGCCCATATAAAATTTGGAGTTGAAAATTTAGCCAAAGTGTTTCAGGATCTTCGCCAGTGCTATAGAGCCTGTGTATTGTGCTGAGCTTCTTTGGACTCAGGCGAGTTAAAAAAAGAATGGAGAACTTATGGGTTACTATGAATGTGCAGTGATGTAGATCCATTGTTCAAAACCTTTAAGAAGATATTAAACAGTGTTGGGGAGAGGAGGCAGTCCTGACAAACTCTTTCTTTTGTTCGGAACGAGCTCCCTATTTGTCCGTTCAACGGGACAGCACTACTGTCCCAGAGTGCAGCATACCTTACTCTATCAGAGACCTTTTTGAAATCAGTGGTGCTGGCTGTATATATTTTGTATACTGTTCGGTATTTGATGGCTCAAGTGGTCAGTATTATTCCAGCAACCTTTACTTTGCAGAATATTTCCTTATATCCAGCTTTTTGTGTGTGAATAAAATCCTTTTTGGGGGAGAAGAATAGGCTCTCTAAACAGGCAAGTCATAAAATTCTACTAATTACGGGTTTCCTGAGATTAGATATGTTGGATCGAAAGGTACCAGTACTCACCACAGTTTTAAAAAGGTGCCGATACTCACCAAAAAGTGTTTATTACAGTAGTGCTGAACAAATTATGCCGAAAAAAGGTGCTGGTACTGCATGCCGTTGTGTTCTACCATAAAAAAAAGCAAATGTGTGCCATCATCCCTCTAAAACTATTTTTTTAAACAGGTATCCAAACACAGCCTGTGAGCTGTTGACCTCCGATGTCTCACAGATCAATGAGAAACTCGCAGGAGATGAGGAGCTTGTCAACAAACTGTATGCTTTCTTGGAGGGGGACAGACCCCTTAACCCATTGCTGGCATCATTTTTTAGTAAAGTTATGGGCCTTCTCATCACAAGGAAAAGTGATATGGTAGGTAACTTTAGTGTTCACTGCATTGATTCTGATTTTTGTTTGTTCTTTATTGTAGTTTTTTTAAAGAATTTGTGTTATGGTATCACAGTTGATGTCACTGCACATTGGGCATTCCCATGCATGCTCAGTCCTGTGGTGCAGCAGCCATTCCAAGTTACCTCTACTGCTTGTTCCCATAAGTAGCTGGTTATAATGTCTCCTACTTCGTCATGGAAGACGGCATAGACATATTCACCATGCTTTACTAGCATGTACCGCATGTAGGAACACAAATTTACTGTATACACACTGACTTTAAGGTGAGCCGGCGTATTAAACAAGACCCAAATGTTGGCTTTTATAATTGTAGCTCTAAATGGTTGTATCTTGACATTCAGAAATTATCAAGGAAGATCCAGATCCAGAAAAATTCTGCTATGAAAAACATTTGTATAAGACAAATTTTGAGGCATAAATTACTGCACTCGTGAAAAGCATTATGGCCGCTGAAAACAGAACAACTTACAAGGTATTTTTTGCATTTTTGTCCAAAGTTGCATGCACTTGTGGGACGTAGGCTGCACTCTCTCATGGAAAGTAGCTGTGGCGTAGCGGGGTTTTGGGTTAGGACCAGTTCTACATGTTTTGGGGCCGTTAAAAGCGCTTAATCGTGGAATATAAACCACACAGTATTGCCTGCCGGTGACAACACCGTGTAAAATTTGCTGTGTTGCTGGACGCTCACTAAGCACGACACCCCCGCAACACAGGACAGGCCCCTGTGATACCACTAGGGATGAATGGCAAGGGAAATCACTCTCTTTCTGGGCCTGAGTTTGTGAGTTGTACCCATTAGCTAAAGAAAATAATTGTGTTCACCGATTGATTATCTGCTCAGAGCAAGGGACTCAAGAGAACACATCTGATGAGGAAGTTAGCTGGAACAGACTGGGGGGCAAACCTCAATGTCCTTAAGAGGACCTATACAGGCTATGTGAGGCCAACACTAGAATATGGAATAGCTGCTTGGGGCACAGCAGCTAAATCAAATTTTCAGAAAGTCTCAAAGATCCAATGCTCTCCGTATTATGACAGGGGCAATGCGCTCCACGCCCATATCAGATATGGAAACAATTACTGGTCTCCATAATCTGGAAGATAGGAGAGACACAAAGATTCTCACCCAGCTCTCCAAATACCACCACTTTCAAGAACAACCCATGTACAGCCGACTGCAAAAACCCCAGAAGGCTAGACTAAAGAGAACTTGCTTTATTAAGAACGCAAATGCCAAGCTCGCTGTCCTTAAACTCCCTCCCATATTACCAAATGTTCCACTTAAACCTTACAACGACTGCCCCGCTTGGCTTAGGGATAGCCTACCAACAGTCAGAACCACTGTAACAGGGGTCTCCTCCAAATCATCAATGAGCAGCACTGATATGAAATCAACTACAGAAGGAGAGATCAATAGACTTTACCCACACCAGAGTTGGATTCGAGTGTATACAGATGGTTCAGCCAAGAGAGCAGTAAGAGACGGAGGAGGAGGAATATACATAGAATGCCCAAATGGTTTAAAAATCAACCAGGCTGTACCAACAGGTTCATATTCCTCCAATTACAGAGCAGAGGCAGAAGCACTTCTAGCGGCATGTTCTTTCCTGAATAGACAACAGCACAGCAAATATAGCAGAGTGGTCTTTCTGACTGATGCTATGTCAGTTCTACAAGCAATTGTTAATCCAAAAGACACTCAGTTTGTAGACTTGACGCAACAGCTGATTTACTTAGGCTCTTCAGTAGAACAATCTGTACTGCAGTGGATTCCAGGTCACTGTGGATTGGAAGGCAATGAAATAGCGGACAGATTGGCCAGAAGCGGCAGTGACATGGTACACCAAATATAGCGACTTAACCCACCAAGAGATGAAAACACTAATACAATCTAGTATCCAAGAAAGGTGGCTGGATACCCACACCAGATTTTCTCCCCAAGACTCACTTCATCGCCTCTCTAGAGAGGGACAGTCTATTATATTCAGACTAAGGACAGGGCACAACAGATTTCGTCAACATATGTTCAAATTTTTCGGTGTAGGAAATACGGAGACGTGTCCCTGCAGCGTGGCACCCGAAAATGCTGAGCATGTGCTCCAACACTGTCAACTGTATGCTGACAACAGAGACGCAATCTGGCCTGTTCCAACCACAATGAAGACAAAACTGTATGGTACACAAGAGGATATGGATTGCATGATAGCTTTCATAAAGGCTACCGGCCTCCTGATATATGTTTTCTGACAGAAGGATCGAAGAAGAAGAAGAACTCTAGAAAACCATAGGCAGATTAGGGATGAATAGATGAACCACTGGTGAGGCCACAGATGCTCTACTGGATTCCATCCACCATAGTGAAAGGACTGTAAAGAAAATAAAATGGATGAATCCTCCTCCTTCCTTCCTGGCATTTCCTGCTGTAATTTCAAATGAAAAGTTCTGGTGGTTCGTCCACTTCTGCACTTTGTTCTTGTTCCAGAATTTCAGGTTTTTTTTATGCATATCGATTTTTACAAATCTAGCTTATTTTTTTGCAGACTGTTGGTTCCCTACTTGTCGGGCAGATGCACTTTGAAGGAAATGCCCCTAATAAGTCACTATTTTACAACATGCTTGTTGGGGGCGGTGGGTCTACATCCCTCCCCACCATGGGGCCGCATAACCCACACAGGGAGAATAGATGAATGAGAAGCAAGCCATTTCTGTCTGTCTTGTCTGTTTTACCATTTCGGATTGCTTTCTGAAGGTTTGATCACGATGAGACTTCAAGCAGAATATGGACAAAAGAGAGAAAAGAAATCACACTGCAATGATAAATCAGTTACCTTGTTTTTATAAAATTAATAACCTAATACATATTTTTCTGCCTGTAAAATATTTTAAATTATGATTTTTAAAATAAAGACAGAAATACCTTTCATCGAGAATCTTAACATTTTTTTTTATTGCATGTTCCAGATATTTGAGTATTTAAAATCAAAGAATAACTTTGTGGAGCGCCTGCTGTATCACATTGGCACTTCAGCAGTTATGGACTTGCTACTACGTTTAATAACTTGCATAGAATCACCAGAAACTCGCAGAGCTGTCATTGAGGTAGGACCCCATCTTGTTTGATGAAATACACATATTGGGGCTGGCTTAGCATTTTTGTGACCTTTAACAAAATGTAAGAGGTACTTACCAATTTAAAAAAAAAATGTATCAGTTGCAGTGAGAAAAGAGTGTTCAAATGCTATATATAACCTGTGTTGTATGCATGTGTGGGCTTTGTGGCTAAGTCGATGCGAACGCTTCGTAATGCTGGGATGCCGGGTTCGATCCCAGCTGCGGGCCTTGTGGTGGTTTCAACAGTGGTATCAAGAAAGCTGACCGTCCAGGAAGCAATGGCAAACTATTGGACGTAAATTTGCCTAGAAAAACCACACAACAGCTAGGGGCTGTTGGGGTTGGTTTTGCAACGTCCTGTAAAGGATACGCAACTAACCTATCATATGCATGTGATATATAATCAACAAGGACAAGTACAGAAAATAAAGTATCTGGGCACATGGATAACATCAGATTTAAGATGCATAACTGAAATAAGAAACAGAATTGGACAGGCGAAAACTGCATTTTATAAAATGAAAAACATCTTGTACAATATATCCTTGTCATTGAGAGTTAGAAAAAGAATTCTTGCTTGCTACATACATCCAGTTTTAACATATGGCTGTGAATCCTGGACAATTGGTAGGCATGCCAAACAATTTTTAGAAGCCTCAGAGATGTGGTTTTACAGAAGAATGCTTAGAATACCTTGGACAGCCAAAAAGAGCAACCAAGGGGTTTTGAAAGAGGTGGGAGCCCGAAGACAACTTATCACAGACATCAGAAGGAAACAGTCATCATTTTTCGGCCATGTTATGAGAAGAGGGAAAATAGAACATGTTGTGACCACTGGAAAGGTCTGTGGAAGGAGGGATAGAGAAATACAATGAGAGAAGATGCTTGACAGTCTTGTTGCATGGCATGGAGGTGTGTCGGCACACAAACTGATACACGCTGCAGGAGATCGCAGATTATGGAGAGGCATGATCGCCCACGCCAGTCGGCAAGGCACCTGATGATGATGATATAATCAACAAACAGACAAGCTGAAACACACCTACTTGAAGCTGAGATATAGTTTTTGAGAATAATGCCATGGAGTGATAGAAATCCAAATGAGACAGTTCTTCTCAAGATAGATGAAAACCGTAAACTAATTAGAGAAATTAGATATGGTCAGTCGGTCAGTGTAAGAGAGAGAGTGCGTGCCCGTGTGTGTGTGTGTGTGTGTGTGTGGGGGGGGGGTGATAGACTTGAGAACTTGGTTGCAACTGGTATGACTGAATGAAAAAAAGAACAAGGGGAGGATGAATACCTTAATGGCGAGACAAAGACACTGAACGATCAATTATTTTGGTTTGTAATAATGAAAAGTCACATAAATATTGTTTCCACTTGAGGAAAACTTTTATGCAGAATAGCTATTGAGTAAAATGGAAGACCAGATACTACTATTTGACTGTACGGAGTTAAGTTCCCAAAAAAATACCTGAATGGGACATAAAATAATTTACATTTCATGAAAATAATTGTTAGTTATATTAGTTTATATATTTTTAAAAGAAAATTGATCACCTGTTTCCTAACACACTGAATGTTTTGAATTTCTTGTCTAGTGGCTAAACAAGGAAAAAATTGTTGCAAAACTGGTGGATTCTATTGTAGCGTTTACAGACGACGATGTGAGTACTTGTAGATATGTGAAGTGTCCGTATTGTATCTGCTTCTTTTCTTTAGTGAAAGGTATACACCTCTGGGAGCCAAGTTCAGTTAAAAGGGGGAAAAAACCTGCCTTGATATGGCTGAAACATGGCATTTGGGTTCAAAGCTGAGCCACTATGTTACTGTGGCTCTCCACAGTCTAATTCTAATGTCCATAAATGGAAGAAATTTCAATAAAAGATTGAATCTGATAACTTTTCTGAATTCCATTACTTTACTGAAATTCTTTAAAGAAATTCATTACTTTACTGAAGTAGCTAGTATCAGTTTATTCCATCTAAAAAAAACAGTGAAAGAAGGAGAACTGCTGAAGACGTGGAACAATGCATTCGAAGATAAATGTTTGGGAAATGAGTGCACATTAAATGTGATGACTTCATAGGCAAAGAAATACGAGTAATGTCTGGACAGTCGCTTGTCTCGACAGTTATTAGATAAAGAATCTGGCTATATATTTGGCACGTCATGATGACAAAAACTGCTAAACGGGAACTGAAATGGAAAATAGATGTATCGTTGAAATGAGGACATCCAGAGGAATCTAAATATTAACATTGTTAGGAGAGAATAGAGGTTCTAAACTGGATTCCATTCATGATATCTAAAAGGCTGCATAGAATGGAATGGGGGACTTGACTGTGGGCCATATTTGACGAATAATAATACAGCTACATGTACTTGTTAAAATTAGGCCTAGGTTAATACGTGTCCTCCACATTTAGGTTTCCCTAGATATTGGCTCTAATCCAGTGCCTGGAAGGAAGTCTAAGAAGGAAAAGTAGAGGTGTTTTGTCTTGAAATAAGCAACAAACATATAGTGATTTGCAGAATAACTTTTTTTTAAAGTTGCTTAAAAAAAATTACATTTTTTAATTTTCAGATTCATTGCAATGCAGCTCAGTCTCTTTGTGATATTGTGCGGCTGGGTCGAGAACAGTTCACTCAACAGCAAGATGCATCAGACCCAGACCCTCTTCTAGTAACAATGGAACAGTAAGTTACATGTTTGTAACAGCATCCATGAAACTATTTTGGCTGTTTTTGGTTAAATAGTTTTGTTTTGTGAACTCAAAATGAATTTTCTCAACTGAATAAACTTTCATAAAATTGTATGGAGATAATGAAGGTGATTTTGTTACTGATTTTGCTACTTCATCTTCTCATGCCATTTATCCCCCAGTGGTACACAGGCCCTAAACCAGCTCGCATCAAGTTGTCCTAGTCTTTGCAAATGCTTGTATCCCACTCCATGTCCCTGGGAAGTTAACTTGGTCAACAAGTGCACGATGAAGACGGATGTGGCGACCGAAAGACGCAGATATGGCAACAGGTGCACAATGAAGACGGATGTGGCGACCGAAAGACGCAAATATCGCAGTTATTTTGTAAACAGGCACAAATCAGTTACATCATTGGGGCGAGCGAACAATCAAGTCCCCCATTCAGCTCTATGCAGTCCTTTGGATATCATGAGGGGAATCCAGTCCAGAACCTCTGGCCTCTCTCAGCAGTGTTAATCTTTAGATTCCTCTTGGATTTTCTCATGTCCATGTCCTCTTCATCTTTTCAACTTTAGTTTGTAGCTTCCTTCTCCGCACGCATATGCGGCTGGGGAGGTGGGATTTAAACATTTTGAAATATTTTAGGACACAAGACAGCTTATCTTATGTATCAGAAAGAAGCAGTCATCATTTATTGCTAACAATAAGAGAAATAAAATCTGGCATTTGTAACATGGCAGAAAGACAATGTGAGACGATTTCTGGCAGTTATTTATGGTAACGCCGAAAGATAATGAGTGATAGTAATCACTAAATAAAAACAGAAGAAAGAACCATCTAAAAGTGGTTTAAATCACTTTTCTACAAAGAGCAATGTAATGTGGTTAAGACATTATACAATGTCACTCTGATGTCGCTGTTTTTACAAATCTGGTTTGCCCGGTCCCATCAGCATCTGAAAAAAATTTAAAAATTGGGGGTTAAACATAATCATAACCACCATGACTACACACTATGCAGTTGCAACCAGCACCAGCAATGTTATACAGTACAGTCTCAGTGGCCACTGCTAAAAGATGTGCCATAAAATTCCCAACAAACCTAGTATCTTGGCATCGCGACAATCGGGTCGCCCATTAGCTCGCCAGTAGGTGACCTCTTTGCCGGTTGGGACAGTATTTGGTTCTGTCTCCTTTGATCGCATCAGCGCTGCATCAGGGCTCTTGGTGGCATGCAGTGCTAAACCATTTTATGTGGAGCACATAACCTAGTCACAATTGTAACCTAAAGCTCCCCTTTCAGGGATGCTGGTTGAACGTAACAAATTATAATTTTACTTCACAAAAACATGATGATAGTATCTGGGCATTGACACTGCGACAGGGTTAACTATGGTTCAGTATTTGTTATTTGATAACCTTTACCCCAGTTTGCTATCAGTATTTACAGACTTGGGGAGCTGTGGTAGCACACTGGCTAGATCTTGCCTACTGGCCCCAATGTGTTTTTAAATATTGACCTTGGCTTTGAGGTTGACCCAGCCTAAAGTTGGTACCAGGTAATGTTCTTGGAAGTAAACACAGCAGCCATGATTTTAACCACATCCTTTATTGAGGGCCAGTTGGTCTTTATCATCTGCCCGATGCCCAACTGGCATGTTGATCCAGCGGCGCATGAGCTTTCGCTCTCTAGCCCAATGCCATGTAGTGGAATTTGCATGTTTTCACAAGCTATTTTTTTCCCCTCCATACAGTGTGTTCCACTTGTCTGGTCTCGGAGGGAGTAGCATTCACTGAGTTGGTGCTCTGGTGTCTGTGGATTACCTACCTCCCCGGGCAGCAGCCAGAAATGCCCTGTATCAGTACTCAAGGAAATGTGGGTTCACCCTTTGACATGTAGCTAAGGTGTGGCTCAGTGTGCTCATTCCCTGTCACCAGATTGCCTGCTGGTTTCGCTGAGCTCTTCGCGGCTCTAAGCGTGGCCTAAGCATGAGTAGGGCCATCTGGATTATCATGTCCTGAGCCCCCATGTCTTCACGATAGTTTCCGGTATTCAAAAGGGGGGGGGGGGGGGCTGGTTAGCATACTTGCAACTGGCATGATAAAGGTTGTTTATTCATTTACAGATTTGTAAGGTGCATTTATCTCTTCCCCTATAATAAATTTTTTTTCATTGTACACAGTGAAGAAACAGTAGCCCGGTTGTTGTCCAACATGTTTGACTCTGGCAAGAATGAATCAGTACTCGCCAATGGTCTTTGCGTTATACATACACTGCTGGAAGTACGAAGACACAGGTATTTTTGTTTTGTTATTTTATGCTTGTTTTCATGTATAAATATGTCAAACACTTTTTTTTTTATACACCATTGGCACATTAGGTATGTTATGTGAGACTCATTTTTTTTTTAGACCAATCAGCAATACTGTCGACATTACGCAGGCCACTTTACTTCCTAGAATCTTCGCATTTTAAGGTTTTTTTTTTTATTTTTGGGTAGCCCATAAAGGTATCAGTACATGTAATTTTTTAATAAATTAAATGTGAACTATGGGTAGAAAAGCTGAAGAAGTTCAGCCTGTTACATTCATATATCATTGTGTTTTATTTTATTTTCACCTTGGAGTAGTCATGGGATATTGGTTTTATATGATCATAAACTTGTACTTGCTTTTTTTTCTTTCTAGGTTTGTATTTTGTGTAGATAAAATAGATCACAGAAGAAATTAAAATAATACTGAGATTGAAACCAGTCATACAATTAATTAAAGAGCAACAGCTGAAATGGTTGACCCGTCTGGTGAGAGCACCGGGTACCACCTGAAACAAACAGTCACTTTAAGGAAATATAGCGAAGACAGGGCAATGGGAAGACCACCCTATAGATGAAGCAATGGCATCAAGAAAAACCTTAGAGAAATGAACACTAACTTACACAACACATTAGAGTACCCAGACAGTCTTTACTTCACTGAAGAGAAGAAGATTTTATTTGACGAGTGCTTGTTGCCACAACACCAGATACAACTTTAAATGTAAGCCTAGCTTGCTAAACCTGACTTTGTGACGAACGGGCGACGAACTCATTGTGGTCTGGAGTTATGAAGTGGCAACTAAAATAACGTTATGGCTGGGGGTCACCACAAGATGAGGAACTCTATTAAAGGGTCGCCACATTTGCAAGGCTGAGAACCACTGGAAATACAGTTGTTGATGATTGTAGGAATAAACTCACAGGGAGCAAGTACAGCAGGGATCTACCAGTCATCAGTAGAAGTTATCCTCGTCGACAAGTGTTTCGGCCCACGATTCTCCTAGACACTTTCGGAGGTGGGCCCACCTGAGTTCATGAAGCTCAGGGCTGGTACCCTGCTGCACGAAATTACCGGATGGTGTTTTTCTTTCGGATAGGGACAAGACGACTTGGTGATTTGCAGAAGGTACTGTGAGATAAGAAGTCGTCGCGGCAGCCTAATTAGAACAGTCAGCGTACCTGGACGACCGAGCGACAAGCTTACGATTGGTTAACCGGACACATGTTGGACTTTTGTTAGCAGGTGGCAGAGGATCACTGGCAGACAACTCGGACACGATGGACTTTCAAGGGATGAAAAACTCTTTTCCGCTAGACACCCGGACCAGCTCACTGAGGCCCGTCCCCTACGTTGTTTCGCTGCGTCCAAAGCCAGCTCGAGGCCATTTCGGCTACCTCGCCCAGTTTTTTAAGTGTTCGTTTCCATTCATTACCGCGCAATCCTAGTTCTTTAACCACATTGTAGAGCGAAGTGGAAACGAGGCATCTCGCTCCCACTTCGACGGCAAAGACCTGTACTGTGTACGCCTCGTTTCTCCTCAGACCGGCTGCTAAGTCACAATATTTCTCGAGCTTATATGTGTGACTCACGTCCATACGCAACTCATACGGGATGGTGAGCTCAATCAGGATGAGCTGCCGTTTCTCCGCAGAGTGGAGAACTATGTCAGGTCGCAGACCGGTCTTCCGGATTAACTCGGGGTACCTCTCATGGCCCGGCAGATCAACCGCCAGTAACCAGTCCCTCGCAGAGTCTAGCACAGATGGAGCGAATGCATTTCGGTTGACCTTACCTTTTTTAATCTGCCCAGCCTTGAGGAAACGCATGGGGACGATGGTAAAACTGGCTCTAGCGTTAGCCCTCATTCTAGCCTGGTCAACATTGGCTGCTAACTCTTTTAGCACCTTGTTGTGTCTCCAGGTATATCGGCCTTGACCTAGGGCTTTCCTGCACGCGGACAGTACGTGCTCAAGAGTCTGCTTCGTACACAACGGGCAAGTCGGATTGTTAGTCGCAGACCATTTAACCATGTTAACGCCGGACGGTAATACATCGTACGCCGAACGAGCGATAAAGCTCAGTCGCAACGGGGTCATTCGCCAGATCTCACCCCATGTGAGTATTCTTGGCAATGCGCTCTCCAGGCTGACCCAATGGCCCTGCTGCGACTGCTGGGCTGCTTTTTGGAAACGAACCTCGTTTTCGTTGTCCCTCACCTGTTGTATCACCATGTCTCGGCGTTCTTTGGCTGAGGCCTTTGACCACCAATTGACCTTCCTGTGTCCTAGGCCTCGACGGTCGGTTTGAGTGTATCCTATTATCTCCCTCAATTTTAGTGCATTCTGCGCAGATTTAATCGCATCGAGGACTCTCTACTTCTGCCCAGTCTTGAGAGCGGGCTGGACAGCAATGACATTTGGGTCTGAAGACTCGCGCAAGAGCATGGCGAGTCTTACTTTGCCAACTTTAAACTTTGTTAATGATTGTAATATGTAAAGATGACCTTCATCACTGTTATTCCTGTCATGTCCTCTGTAAATATAAGCACCTGTCCTTATTTCTTTTCATGTGCATAGTACAGAGCTGTCTGACCACCTTGTGAATGGGGAGACCGACCGTTGTACTCAGGGTTTAAATAATGTCATAGCAGCTCTTATTCCACGACTGAAAGACTTTCATGATCTTTTACTCAACCCACCAAAGGTAAGTAGATTGTAGAAACTTGACAGAATCCTGATCAGCTTTACTTTTAGAATTAAGATCTTCCCCTGTGGGTTTTAACAATAGGCCCACAGCCTTCCCAACACACATGTCGTAGGAGTTGACTAATTAGAGCTTTATTGGAGCTTTCCTTTGAAGTCAGATTGCATCTGCCTGAGCGGCAGGGACATCCAACTGCACAATAAGGCCAGTCAAATGGGTGCACACATAAAACATTCATTTACCAGGATGCATAAGGGAAGCAAAGAATATTAAAACCAATATTTCTTTATAGGTTGTGGGGCCCATTGGGGGGAGGAAAGGGAAGGGGGAGAATAGACCCACTGCCTTTTAACAAGCATATTGTAAGTGATGACTATTTAAGGTTTTGCTTTATTTCAGTTGTATTGGGCCGGGGAAGATAAACCCGGCAACAAATGCCTGCAGAAGTTGGATGTGTCTTCAAAAAGGCGCAAATATCTCAGCCATTTTGTGAACGGGTCCAATGCATTTACATCTTGAGATAAATGCAGAAGAAGAAGTAATGTATTGAGTGGAAAGTTGCAGATATCACAGCCTGGCTGTAAACCAGAACAAAAAGTGCTAGCCGCCTTTTTTTTTTCTTCAAGGTTGACTACACAAATAGAAAAACTAGCTTATTGTGCATGCCCCAAGAGGCAACTGAGAAGGGTTGGTTTGAGACTAACTAACCTAATCTTGTACAAAATGTTAACTGTCTTCCTTCGAAGTTAGACTGTTTCTGTATGAACGGTAAGAAACCAACAGTCTGCACACAAATAAGCCAGATCTGTAAATTGGGTGTAACATGCAAAACTCGGGTCATAGAACAAAGCCAAAGTTTAGAACTGAACGAATAACCAGGACTTTCCACCAAATAAAGTTTGTTCGTTTGTTCACTCATAGAAGAAAAAATCATATTTTCTCTACTTTACTGCTGCATTACCATGCAGTACATTAACCATAGTAAATAATCTTATTTTCTCTACTTCACTGCTGCATTACCATGCAGTACATTAACCATAGTAAATAATCTTATTTTCTCTACTTCACTGCTGCACTACCATGCAGTACATTAATTATAGTAAATATTCTTATTTTCTCTCATTCACTGCTGCACTACCATGCAGTACATTAATCGTAGTATATAATCTCAATCTGTCATTCACTACTGCACGCAGTAAATTAATCATAGTAAATAAACTTCTTATTTTCTCTCCAGCAATGTTACAGTACTATGCCTACATCGTGTGGAATCTTGGCCCCTCCACTTGGCAATACAAGACTCCAAGTAGCAAAACTGGTCACAGCTCTAATTGGAGCTAACATGTTTCAAGTCAATGTAGAACTGGCCTCTCTTAAAACAGTACCAACATTATTGGTAAGTTTGAATTTGCACTAGGTTGTGGTATCTTTTATAATAGAATAGAACAACTCCAGATGCAAGGAAAGACCAAAGACATGTTTAAAGAAATTAAAACATTAATAACCGAATTCAGACCATCATTTCATGTAGTAAATGATTAAAAACGGTAACAAATTAACAGAAATTAAAGACATACTAGAATGATGGAAAGAATACTGTGCAGAAACAGATTTAGATCCCACAAATATTTCAGAAACAACTTGTGAAAGTGACGATAAAGAATCAAAACCTGTACTGGATGAGGTACAATCAGCTTTACAGTTTGAAAGGGTAGTCGACAGGTTGCGACGAAATACCAGCAAAATTCAGACAGGAGGAGAAGCCAGGGTCCGAATCTACCATGTGCTGTGCTAAAGATCTGGAACAGTGCTATTTGGCCTACAGCGTGAAAAAAAAATTAATCTTGTATCAATCTCCCAAGGAAAGGAAAGTTGAAACAATGCGCCAGCTATCGTACCATCGGATTAATAAATCATACTAGCAAAATCCTCTTACGAATAATCATGAAGAGGATTGAAAGGAAACAACAATTATGAGCTACTTGAAGCACAAGTGGGTTTCAGACAGGGTAGAGCAAGGAAGGATCACATCTTTAATATGCAAACAATCTTTACAAAAATGAGAGAATACAACGTAAATTTACATGCTTGTTTAATTGATTACAGAGCAGAGCCTTTGATTGTGTCGAACATCAGAAATTATAGAGTGTAATGAGAAATATGAGACCATCTCCCAGTCTTAAGAAAGAAAATAAGGGCTTTGTGCAGAAAAACTATACAAAGATTTTCAGAATACCAAGGACAAAGAAGAAAAGAAATACTGACATTTTAAAATATCTGAACGTCAAGGAAGATTGATAAACGCCATCTTATCTCGGAAGCTGGAATATTTTGGTCATATCAAGCACTGTGGTTGATTAGAAAAATAATAGCAGAAAGCCAGGAAGGAGGGGCTGGGGCTCTCCATCATAAACAATGGGCACAGGACACCTTGAATAATGAAAGTGCACGAGGCTGGAAAGCTGGCGTGAGGCCGAGTTTCTTTCAGGCAGACCGTGATGAGAGCAGTGTTCTGCAAAGGATCTGCTGATGATGAATCCTTTATAGTCGAGGTTATTAATCATCATCATCATCCAGAATGTCACTCTCATCTTGGCAAGCCTCAAAGTCTCTCTCTAGCCAGTTCTCCAGCCATACGTGCTTTCATAGCTAACGCATCTTCCATGTCTCGTATCCAGCTTTGTGGAGGCTTGCTTCTGCCTCATTGTCTGAAAACTACCCTACACTACCATTGTTCTCACCAGGCCACCATGACATTTAGCGTGGCCAAAATACCTCAGCTTTTGTGAGATGATGCTGTTTATGAGCCAATTCTCCTCGATGCTGTCGGTTATTAGGACAAAATTGGTCATCTACTGGTAGTACTGTTTTCACAATTATGTCACAGATGTGTGATATGACTATAGAATTTCTACATATTCTTTTAAAAAAAATGTGTATCGACTCCACAGTGAAGGTTGGCTTTAGTACATCCACTGTTGTCTTTGGGAATATTACCTTCTGAGGCCCCAATCTCTTGGACAGTGCAACTCTTGACTATTGTCCACAAACCATGAGAACAGTTTAAAAAAAAAAAATGCCCCACTGTGGTATTTGAATCCTATTTGTTGAGGATGCAAGTTTTTTTGTTTGCACATTCACTAGCTTCCCAGTCACTGAACTGCATATATTCTTAGCAAACCTTAAATTTTTCAGATCTTCCGAATAAAAAAAAATGCAGGACTCTGTAAACATCCGAGATGTGAGCACGCTCAGAGCAAACAATAAACTTCCAGTTTAGTGATGATCCTGCAGGCAGTTGAAAACTGTTGTTTTCTGATGATGCATGAGGCAGATTATACTTTGAGGAGAATTTACGACTGATTATACTTTGAGGATTTACGGCAGATTAGCCTTGAGGAGAATTTTTCTAATAAATAACATTTTATGTGTTGGGATATATGGTAGATAACCTTTGTGCAAACTGAACTAAACCAAACAACATTGTGAACTTTGTTGGATATGTATACATTTTGTCTGATTAACTTTTTATTTCAGGAATTGTTCTTCACATATGAATGGAATAACTTTTTACATACTCAAGTCGAACAGTGCCTTCTCTTAATATTTAATAATGGATCCATAGAGATTAATGGCCAACTTCAGCATCCTTTGTTAACACAGGTAACGTGTTTGTCCTAAGGTGTTAGTAGATTTATTGGTTGTCGTTCTGTAAGGAGTTGATTGTCTAAGCCAGCGACTTACTAGTTGTTAGTAAGTAATTGTGCATGTAAAATAGAAACATCATCATCCTGGTATGTTGTAAATAAGTCACACAGGGCTAGTATTTTACTCTACCATTTTGCCTTGTCTTGTGCAGGTTTTTTCTCACCAAACCGTGGACGGAAGCCAGTCCAGCACATTGAGCATTTGTGAATAATGTTTGTCTTGGAGTTTCAGTTGGAAATCCTTGTCTTCTCAGTCCGTGTATTTCACAATCATGTGCTGAGTTCATGCTTCTCTGTTTGCTTCTTCTTGCAATATGCCTAGCATATCGCCATCTTCTTTGTCTTATTAAAAGAGAAACATGGTCGGATGATCAAAAATATATTTTATGGAAGCTACCTTTGTAATTTTCAAAACTTTTTGAACTCTTACAGTTTGTGCTTTTGCTTTTCCTTATAGTTTATAATTTTATATTTTGTACTTTTCTTTTTCCGAAAATTGTGAATGTAATATTTTGGTCTTTGACTTTGCCTTACAGTTATGAATTTAATATTTTGTACTTGTGTTTTTCAGTACAGTTATCTTCTTCTTCTTCTTTTTTTTCTGCTACTCCTGGAATGCCTCATTGGGTTAGGGCAGGAAGAGATCTCTGGAATGGGCCTTTCTGTTTGCTTTGTATAAAGTACTCTTCAGTGTCTCTAATATTTTTGCGGTCCATTTTCTGTGTGGTCGACCTCTGGCTCTGTTACCGTTGTATCTGTATAACATTACTCTCTGTGGTGCCCTGTCTGATGCCAATCTTGTCACATGACCAAACCATTTGATTTGTTGTCTACCTGTAAAGTTTAGAATTGGTTCTGTGCCAACTCTCCTCCTGACATCATTGTTCTTAAGTCGAAATTTTCTTTTTACTCATAGCAAAGTACATAAACACTTCATTTCTGACGTGACTGTTAAGGTTATAAATTTGTAATATTTTGTGCTTTTTGCATTTCCATGCAGTTGTAAATGTAATATTTTGCACATTTGCCTTTCCTTATATTTCTGCATGTATTATTCTAGATTTTCCTTTTAGGTGTTTCTGCGTGTGTGTCTGTGTGTCTATGCCTGCGTTTGTCTGTGGCTGTGTGTTTCTCTGTGTGTTATTTCGTGTGTATTTGTATGTTCATCTTTTTGATAATGTGTGTGTGTGTGTGTGCGTCTGCATGTGTGTGTCTGTGCGAGTATTTGTGCGTCTGTGGGTTTGTTAGTATGTGTTTTTGTATTTCTCTGTCAGTGTTGTGTGTGTGTGTGTGCCATTATGTGTCTGTAGGTATGGCTGCATGTGCATCTGTGTCTGTCTGGCTGTGCGTGACTTTGTTGTATCTGTGCGAGTCTCTATCGTGTGACGTTTCTGTGCTCGGGAGTCTGCCTGTATGTCTTTTTCGTGTGGATTGAGAACAGACTCACTGCGTTTCTGTATGTGTCTGGGTTGTATCGTGTGTGTTTTAGAGCGTGTGTAAACATGCCATTTTTTATAAGTTTGATAATACGTAATTTGTGGTATGTTTGCTGCAGTCAGATGTGTTTGGCCAAAAGATGTAGATACTGCCTAGCTGTAAACCACATCACATAGCACCTACTGCCCTTTTATGGGCAAACAGAAGATATTTTACATTGAATAATTTATGTCTGTTATTAAAGCGGATACTGACCCTGCTATTGTTACTTTTGTTTATTTGCAGTTGTTTACTGAGTATGGCTTGATACAAAAGGTGGTAGCTCAGTGGGAGGGCAATGAACAGCACCAGTAAGTTAGTGGTTACTGTTAGAAAATGTTTTATCAACAAAATATGACCCAGTGTTAAATGTTTTTATGTAGTAAACTTGAATAATTGGGAGGGGGGGGGGGGGGGGTTATAGAAACTGCTCCCCCCCTTCCCACCGGACAAAAGCATGTTGTAAAAGGTGACTAATACATTGTATTTCTGTCTCAGTGCATTTGAACAAGAGGCAAGGAACCAACAGTCTGCATACAAATAAGCCAGATCTGTAAAATTGATGTGTATGCAAAACTCAGGTTCGGATGAGGATGAGCAGCTAGAACTTTCTGCTGGTATTAACAGCCAGTGAATCCTGAGAAGAAATAGAACCAGCTGGCACCATGCCAGCCTGTCTTGTGCTGTCCTGCTGCAGCTCACTTTTGTTTCCTTTCTCTTACTGCCTCAGCTGTCTTACCCAGTTCATTAGTTTTATCATTCCAGCTGATAGTTCTGGAGATTTTCCTAGGTGAAAGGAGGTAATCAGCAGTTTAGACTGTGTATACTGCTTCATAGAGTTGACCCCTTAGATTACTGTACAGAAATGTATGTCTGGGGGCATAAAGAGGTTGATTGACTGACCTTGCAAGTCTTGTGATGTTTAATGTAGTTGTTTTTTGGGTGAAAAAAAAAATATATATGCTGTTAGTTTGATGTATTCACCCACTTACTAAATACTTTACGCCTGCCTGCGGATCGGAGCGTCGTGGGTTCGGGCCCTGACGGAGCTGGCCTTTTTTTAAAATGACCTTGGCTCCCAGGTCGACCTAGCCTTGAGTGGATACTAGATGTATTCCTGGGAAATAAAGGCAGCTGGCCTGGTGCTGCCCACATCACCCACCAAATCCGATTTATCTAAAAATTTAGGTCTGGCCATCTATGCCCGGTAAAGGGTCTTTTACTTTTTTTTTTTTAACTAAATACGTAGGTTTTTAAATAGACAGTTTAAAAAAAAATGTTTTTATTAGTAATATTGATATATTTTCTATGTTAATAAAAGCTGCAGAGGCCTGTTCTTTATAATCGATGCAAATGTTAGACAGTAATCAGAAAATTAGAGGCAGTGTGGGTGGGGATAAAAAAATAATTTAAGAAGAGACTCGGCAGAGTCCACCTAAGTATTATTGAAAAATAATATGTCGATATGGAGTAAGTAAATATCTCATTATAGTTGTCACATATGTGTATAGTAATTGTGCAAGCTTAATCAGAATTAAATCAAAGAACACCAAAAACATTCACAGTAAACATTTTTTTTATAGGTGGAGGGATGGCTTGCTAGTTGGAATCGGCTACTTCATTTACAAAGATCTGAGGAGAATAGAAATTGTCACACAGTTTCAATCATAAATAAATAATTTCCAGTGTTAATGTAGTTTCATTTTTTCTGCATTATGTTACTACATTAAAATGACATTTTCACCTCTTCTGTCCAGAAATGTAAAAAATGGCAAGCGACGAGGCTTCATGGGACACCTCACAAAAATTGCCAACTCAATATCGGGGCTACAAGAGAAGAACTCAACTTTGGTCACAGAAATATATAATGGTAAGTCATTTAAGAGAAAGTTGTTCATATTTGCTACTGTTTATTCAACTGTCTTAGCTGGAGTGTCTGGTCTGTTAAAGAATTAAAAAAAATTGTTTGGCCTGTAGATGACTATATCCATTTCTTGTTGATCGGCTTCAACTCTTTTGTGTACGCAGTTTTTGTCTCTGGTATCTGCTGTTCTCTCCATATGCTCCAACTAATACAGCTGTTGGCTCTAAATGCTAGTAAATGATGATTTAAACAGGTTATGAATTTCTGGTTATATGTTCCATATTTTAAAATACAGCCCTGAAACAGACATGTCTTTTTTGATTTTTTTTTTAATTTCTGAAGTATAGCACTGACAAAACATAGTTGATGAAAGGAAGAAGGGTATCTATGTAGTAAAATCAATGAGACTGATGTTGAAACTCTTGATTTAGCAACATAAAATAGTACCTTTGATTAACTATATTATCTTATTTTTTTTTTTTTTTTTTACAAATTAAGTATCCAGAAACCATTAGTTGTTAACCCTTTGGCTCGGTACTATGGATATTGCAACCCTTCAGCCTTAATTCCATGATAGATACCGCAAATCTGGGAGAAATGTGGCTTTTCTGCCTACCCCCTGGTGTGAACCCGGACCACAAGGAGTTTGTCCCCTGGTTGCCGCGCGAAGAGTTTTAACCAACTGTGCTAGCGAGCCGGGCATTTTTTATTAATTTACTCAATGCTGTATCGTCTTTGAAATTTAATCAGATCTTGAATCATTTATTTTTTTGCAGAGCTTTCACAAGATGTTAGGGATAAATGGGAAGCTTTTGTTGCTGGACCTTTGGCAGAAGTTAATAAAAAGAATATGATAGAATTGGTAAGTGGGCTATTCATATATTTTATATTTTTTTCTTAGCCTTCACCAGCTGAAAACTCTGGCAAAAAAGCTTGTTTGTTCATCCACTTACGGATTCGGTCTTGTGTCAGGACTGGAGTGTTGCGTGTACCTTAGTTTGCAGGCTTATTTGTGTGCAGACTGCTGGTTCCTCGCCTCTAAGGCAGATGTGCCCTGACTCTGAAGGAAATTTTGATTCTGCCTGTTTTGTTCAGGTCCCCGGTCACAAACTTTTTTTGGAGGATGACTATGAAGAGATGAAGATAGGTCTTTACTGGTATGAGTCCTAGTCTTGGTTTAGCACCACTGGTTCAGCACCTCTGCATCTCATGCTGTGTTCAACTATAGCATTAATAAAGAGCTGATCAGAAGATCTAATCCCTTACATAGCACTGTATTTTTTTTTTTTTTTTTTACATTGTGGGGTGCAGTTTTTAGATATTTGAAATGTTTTCTTTCCCAGACACTTGTGATAGGAGTTTTTCTTTCATGAAACACACACAAACACATATATACACACACACACACTCACACACACACACACATACATACACACGCACACACACACACAGTTGCATGCACACGCAGACAAACACTTAATTTTTCTACGGCCTTATGAGAATCCCTTCTGTATATATAAAGTTAACAGACAGACAGTGTACTGATCGGCATTCATAGAAAGATAGAAGTATGTCCTTCTATATTTCTTCTTATTTCTATGATTACCAGTCAATACATTGTCTCTTTGGTAATTTATATATATATATATATATAGGGAGAGGGTGGTTTGAAAAGTAATACCTCTAAGTAAAAGCATAGCTATATACAGTGTACACACGAAAAAAAAAATATTGCCGAAAGCCTGAGATGTCTTTTAACAAAGATGCCATTATTGTTCAAAGTTGTCGCCACCACGTTGCACACACGTAACAGGTTTTCAAAACCTAAGAAAAAATGTAAATTAAAAAAAAAAAAAGTAAACCAGGAATGCACATCAGCTGCCAGATCCTCGCCAAAAGCATATCTGTTTTCCCTTGAGATGTTCCTTAAGCTTTGGGAACAGGAAATAGTCACATGGTGCCAAGTCAGGACTATATGCTGGATGTGCCAAAATGTTGTTAAAGTTAAGATGCTCCGATGCTGCCAGGACAAACATACAGAGATCTTGCAAGTAGTTTCTGCAATGATCCCACATAGCGATTAGAGTGGACATTATTGCTTTTCAATGTGAAACAGAAGTAAAAGTAAAGTAAAAAAGTAAAGATCCCTTTTCACGCCTTTCGGCGCATCGGGCATATGGGCAGAGCGTCCCATATTTTTACAGACCATCAGCACTCTGTGGGTAATGTGGTCAGCATTACGCCGGCTGTCTTTACTTTCCCAGGACAGCGCGAAACAGGAACTGTGTGGAAAAAGGTAGTCGGGAGAAGTGAACCAGTGTCATTGCACACGGTTATAAACCAAAAGTGCTCTGCCACAGGTACGGACAGCTGATAAGAAACTGTTACCCTGTGTCGCCGTCCGCATGCATCTTCGTAGCTACAGCGACAATCCTTAATTTACCGCAGAGAGGCTGGGTGAACCCCAGAAACCGCCCTGTTTCGAACACCGGCCGTGGGCAACAGCGAGTTGCAACTGGATTTAAAAATGAGTCTCCTATCGACTGCGCTAATGCAGCCCCAAATGTATGGAATGTATGGAACATGTCAACAACCACTGTCACAGTATAGATGGAAAACAGACAAGACAAATTGTTTTATGTCTTAAGAGTTGTGGTAAATGATTAAGTAAGATAACTTGTTTCTTCTTATTCTCGTTGCTAGTGGTTTTTGGATGAAAAAGCCACAGGCCTCTTTGAGAATGGTGTTGCGACACTGTTGTAATATTATGAACGATGTCAGTATTCTTGATCCTCTGCTAGATGCGGAATCATCCTTTGGCCTCTAGTAGCGACGATGAGGAAGCAGACTTTAAAGACATTCCATTTCCTCAAGACACGGCCATGCAACAGGTGATACCATTGTGTGGTTGTATTAGTAAAAGTATTGGAATATCTGGGAAATCTCAGTGTCGTGGTCGATTTAGGTGTGCTGTGTTATCACATTACTGAACTGGCTTACTCTTTTAATCGTGAAATCTATTTCTGGATATTATGCCGCCCACATTACTGAGCTGGGTTTACCATCATCATCATCATCAATTTCCACTAATGCCAGTAAGCCTCGTGAGGAGAAACAGCTTGCGATCCATTGCTTGATGGGCAACAATGGCTATTGTCATTCCTTGTCGATGTGGAAGCTCTTTAATGTTGTTGATCCATATTCTTCTCGGGTGGCCTCTTGATTTCACTTCACTGTGCCTTTTTATGTTTAGCACCTGCGTTGGTAGTTTTTCTAGCTGTTTTCTTACTAGGTGACCAAACCATTTTATCGTCTGTTTTTTGATGAAATTGCTGCATTGTGTTGTTCCTACAGTCTGTCTGATAATATCGTTTATAGCATGTCTTGGATGGTTAAGTTGGCAGCCTTTCTCGGGTATCTCATTTCACATGTGGTAATTTTTACGTAAGTTAGCCTTTGATAATGTCAAGGCCTGGTACTGGTAGCACATAGTTGCTATGAATATGCTGTTTATAATCTGTTTCTTGGCACTCATATTTTAATGTCTTAATAACCTCATCGGTTGGTATGTAAGTTGTTTCTATTTCCTGATCTATTCCCACATCTTCCGAGAATACACTTCCTAAATATATAAATTCTTCAACTTGCTTCAGACAGGTACCATTCAACGCGACATGTAGCGGACTAGGAATTCTACTGACCTGCATCATTTCAATTTTAGTAGTATTTATTTTCATGTTATATCTTCTGCATGTTGAACTTAGCCGGTTCAGATGCTGGGGTACTGTCCGTTAATCATGAAATCGATAACTTGAAATTTTACCACCAACATTACTGAGCTGACATTTTGTCCGTTAATCATGAAATCGATTACTTGAAATTTTACCACCAACATTACTGAGCTGACATTTTGTCCGTTAATCATGAAATCGATTACTTGAAATTTTACCACCAACATTACTGAGCTGACATTTTGTCTGTTAATCTTGAAATCAATTGCTTGAGATTTTACCACCAACATTACTGAGCTGACATTTTGTCTGTTAATCTTGAAATCAATTGCTTGACATTTTACCACCAACATTACTGAGCTGACATTTTGTCTGTTAATCTTGAAATCAATTGTTTGACATTTTACCACCAACATTACTGAGCTGACATTTTGTCTGTTAATCTTGAAATCGATTACTTGACATTTTACCACCAACATTACTGAGCTGACATTTTGTCTGTTAATCTTGAAATCAATTCCTTGACATTTTGCCACCCACATTACTGAGCCTGCTTACTGTATGCTAATAATACAATCCATTTCTTGACATTATACCGCCTGATTCCTTATGTTCTCCTGTTTGATTCTGTTTCTTGTTGTCACCTTTAGTATTTGAGATCTTCTTCTTAGTGTTCACTGGCTGTAAACTGTGGTGGAAAGTTCTCATAGTTCAGCCACTTCTGGATTTTGCTGTGTTCTGAAACTTGAGTTTTGCATGTACATCTGTTTTACAGATCTGACTTATTTTTATGCAGACTGCTGGTTCACAGGTAGATGCACTCCGAAGAAGGAAATGCCCCAATTAGTCACCCCAAACAACTTGCTTGTAAGGGTAGCAGTGGGTCTGTTCTTGCACGCCCCCCCCCCTTTTCCCCTCCCCCAGGGGAGCCAACACAGGTTTTAATGGCATCATTTGTAAAGGGTTAAATCTCTGTCCCATAAACATGTATAGACTACCAAACATTCATAAGAACTGTGTAATGAGATTTTGTGCCTGGGTGCCTCCCCTGTCTCCCTAGGCCTTCTCTGACTATCAGTTACAGCAGATGACCAGTAATTTCATTGATCAATTTGGCTTTAATGATGAGGAGTTTGCCGAGCAGGATGACAAAATTGAGTAAGTACTTTGCTGTTATTGTTGGTGTATTATCTGTTTGATACATTTGGTCTAAAACTTGTCATACAGTTCAATAAAGAGCAACAAATAGGACGATTTAGCTGTCTGAGGATGGCCTAGTACTAGCTGTTATTAAGAGCCACAATGAATCAATATTAAGAGTACAGAGTGCGGAAAGATGACGCAAATTATGGAATGACAGCATCAAGAACAGTCTTAAAGAAATGAAGATAAACTTGTGCAGCGTGTTAGAAAAGGCCCCGAGAAAATGCTTACATCTTGCCCCCACTCTTTGATGAGGTAACTGAAAGAAGAGAGGAGGAAGAAGAATTGTTTTTTTTAAAGATTCCATGGTGGTTTCATTGCTGAGTTTTGCATTTTTAGATTTTCTGCATCAGGATTACAGACCAGAACCTCTTAAAGCAGTCTGTAAAGTCAGCTTGGGGAAAAAAAAAAAGCTTGGCAGGAGCATGCAGACCTGCAATCTAAAACTCACTTTGAATAGGTCTCAGTGATGCTGGCAGATTTTGCCAGAGCAGACTTACAAGAGTGTCAAGACTTTGCAAGTCAGGGAATGTCATGGTCATGGACCAGTAAAGAAAATTAAAGCATTCTTGTAATTTCAGTCAGCTCCTATAATGGGCAAAAAAAAAAGCTTGGCAACGTTTAGCGCTGCAGACGCTTAGTTTGGTCAATCTAAAACGCTGCAGTTTTGTATCAGGGTCACACCGTCTCGAAACAAATTGTAGCCGCCATTGAGCTACCAAAGACAAGGCCCCTTTCAGGGTCCCCACTTAACATCTTTTTTGGGCTTTTCTTTTTTTCGCACCATACATGTGTATGTGCGTGAGCGAGTCAGGGAGAAGAAATCTGGCCCTTATGTGGGGCCCTGCAGGACAAACTGTGGTGTACTGTTAGGACCTCAAACCCTTCATCCTATTTGTAATTCATTGCTGGAATAGATGCATAGCATTTCTTGAAAGAAGAAAGCAGACCAAACCACTGTAGCTGCAAGTTTGTTGTGAGTCCACATGGCCTTAAGGACACCTGCAATTGTGGTGTACTCTAGCAAACACCTTGGCATATCCCTCAAGCCTGATCGAGATTTTGGATGAAAATCTGTCTGTCGTGGCAACCCAAAGGAACTGGTGGAGATCTCATGTGTACTTTCTATTCATAATTCTTACGGGCATGCTGTTTGTTTCTAGATGATAGTATTGAATTGTGCTATTTAAAAGTCTGGGAATCACAGCCCATGGTGATTAGCAAGACTGGCTTTGATAGAGAAAAGTCTTCTCTTCCACTAGTAGATTGCCTGTATTTATTGTGCTTGTTCTCACAGGCTTAACTCCTAGCCTGTCTGCAATCATTTTCTCCTTTATCACTCATTCTTTCCAGCTAAAAAAAAGTTTATGATAAATATGCTATAAATGGCAACTTTGTGCTATCAATGCCAAACATGGACAACCCTAGAAAAACATAAATCTAGAATCTTTGTAAATTACAACATGCAAGATTAGGTGTATAAGAATGATTGCAGCAAAAACAAGAAGGTATGTGTCATAGAGCTGCTTACTACCTTAATGTCAGCTCCATGACAGTATGTCTGTCTCAAACACAACTAACCCAACACCATCAGAGAATACACACGAACCTTTAATGTAATTACAAAAAGATGACGGCAGTTTGCTCCAGAGGTGGCTTGTCTTACAAACCCTACTCCAACCTGTGAGTGCTTTAAAATCGGCACTCGCACATTGGTTTTATGGATGTGTCCGGGCGTTAAGCGAGTCAGAACCAGTAGCCAGAAATACCACTCTTCAATTATACTGTGATCCCCTCTTCGCGTGACAGTGCTGTGTTAAACTCAGGCTCCGGGTAGTATGATCCGAAACACTACGTCACTGCGCCGAGTCGTCTTGCTACCAACCCACGTGTTTGCAGACTTCTTATTTCCTTGCCAAAATCAGTCAGATGTGAACCATCTGTGCTTTGAAGGAGAGTAAGTACTGTAAAGACCCTTACCCACAAGAACAAGGCGTCCGAGTCTATACAGATGGTCCGCACTTAGTGCAGTTATAGACTGGTGGTGCTGGAGTGTACAGATTCCCAGATGGATAGTGATCAGTATCCAGTGCTGCCCGCCGGGAAAGTACTGCCATAACGGGATGCTGAAACCCAGGTATCAAGCTAGCAACAGAGAAACTGCTAAATCAAGGTCATTTTTGAAACACAATCTGCTAATGTTGACAGATGCAAAACCATACGAAGCACTCTGTTCTAGGAAACGACCAGAATTAGCAAACGACCTCAGAACAGGCACAACTGGCGACTCCCAAGACACAGAATTCTGATAGAAAATCAACTATGTGAAATTGGAAAGGTGCCACAGAAGAGCATGTTTCTTCAGGACTGCACAGAATTTTACACTGCCTGCAAACACTTGGCTAGAATTGAACACCATCAACGTAAACTTATGAAAACTAAATGTTCTATTCTTAACCATCGCTGCATAACTGACTTAAAATATGAAAACCTTGCTGATAAAAACAACTCCTTTCAAGTCAAAAAGTAGTGTAGTATTCAAGCGCTGCACAGTCACCAAGGAGAAATGTTTAGAATGGGAGAAAGCTAGGTTCTGTCCAGGCACTGGGTCCTGGAATCTTTTTTCTTTCATCACGTAATCCTTGTCGGAGTCTCTGTTGGCTGTTGAACGCGTAGTGCTAGTCCATCAGTCACTGTCATGACCTACAGTCATTCCATAACCACACAAGCCCCTGACAGTACAGTCGTCAGTGAAAAACTAAGAACCACGGTAAGCACTGTAGTAGTAAATGATTTCATAGAACATAGAATCAAATGGTTTGCTCATATGGTCATAAAGAGAACAAAATCAGCTGGCACCTTGTGTGCACTACGTGAGAACAACAGGCTAGCAAGCAAGATGCCGACCCAGAAAGAGATGGGTCGAAGGAGAAAGAGAGACACTACAGAAACACGGTATGACATTAACACAAGTTTCACAACTAGCAAAGACAGAAAACACCATCTAACTCCTCTCTCTGACACTTTACAGCATAAGCAGTAGGAAAAAAAAGGAAAGAAAATTAAGCTGGCATAGATGTAAAGTAAATGTTGCATGCTGACAATACAAATAATACCCCGAGGCTACCCATTTCACCCACTATCCCCTCCCTCTGTTATGAAATCGTTAGGTGATGAGACTTTTTATTCTGCCCTTTAGTCCGCAGTTGGGCATAGGATCTCAGCCAAATCATGCCAGGCTGTTTGTTATCCTTTGTCATCGCTTGCAGCTTGGGTAAGGGGGGGGGGGGGGTCCCTACCTTTATTCTGATCTCTTGCGTTTGCCCCCCTTGAAAGGGCTGTTGGTACCTTGTGGTTTACAACTTGGCTGTGATGTCTGCATTTCAGCCCAACACATAAGATTTGGGCAAATCCTTGGTCAGTCGTCACACTTGTTTAAGATCAGGGTGTCAATTCCCCCCCCACCACCACCACCATAAAATGGGGCCCCAGAACCTACATGGGGAACTTAATTGGTATGCTAAGACTATTTATAACAGTAAAATAAGATTCTATGCTTCCATGACAGCTTTCTTTCCACTTTCTTAATACTTTATTACTTACATGTGTTTTACTTTTTAACTAACATTGTGAATATGATTTCCTCAGCTCTGCTTTCTCTGATAAAATTTCAAGTATCAATTCAGAAGTTCAAGCACATGATAATGTATGTACCATCATTGTGCTGTTTGTTTGTTTATCATATAAATTTAATTTGTTTGCTTGTGAACTCAGAAACTGAATTTAAGCAGAAGAGACTAGACCAGATCTGACAGTGTCATGTTGCAAATTGGGATAACTTCAGTAAAAAGTAAAAGTAAAGGACCCTTTTCCACACCTTTAGGCGTATAGGGCATATAAGGCTAGAATTTTTATAGACCAATCAGCACAAGATGGGTGATATGGTCAGCATCACACCGGCTGCGTCTATTTCCTGGGACTGCACCCGGTACTTTAACATCAGTATAAAACTTTAAAAATAAATAAATTAAAAAAACAAAAATGGAAGACGCATAGTTTGGTCATATAGGAAGATTATCATAACTAGTGGGTGGCCAAGGAGGAGTGGCCGGCAGAGTGGTTAGAGTGCTAGGCTGTTATGAAGGAGACCCAGGTGTGATCCTCGGTAAGGAATGTTGATTGTTTTGGTGGGTAAATTTTTTTAGACATTGCTAGCCTGCACAGTTTGGCGACTTCATGTGGCCTCAAATCCTCAGACTCAAAATCTCCCTCTTCGACACCACCCTAAAAATGGGTAAATATGGACATCAAAGACAGTTCAATACAGTGGGGTTTGCTGATTATATAATCTTCTTTTTGTGCGCATTCACAGGATGTAAGCTCCATTGGAAAGTTCTGGTGGTTCATCGACCTCTGGACTTTTTATAGTGTTGTTTCAGAACACCAGTGTTGCATGCACTTCTGTTTCACAGATCTGACTCACGTGTAGGCTGATTGTTGGCTTCTTGCATCTCAGGCAGATGCATTCCGACATCAAAGGAAAACCCTCAGTTAGTTGACTCTTACGGCATGATTGTTGGGGAGGCAATGGGTCTATCACTATTTATAGTGGGCTGGGAATCTGGACTTTAACGTGGAAATTGCGGCCCTGACCTTGAGCCTGGATTTTTGCCTTGGAAAAGACATAATGACCTTATATATCTACCTTTAATTTTGCCTGCTGCAATGGGAGAATTGAAGTTAAACAAACTATCCCGGGAAGACCTGCAATTTTAGGCCAGGTTAGGCTATTTTTGGCCATTTGACTATTTTCGGCTACCTTCGTTTTAAATGTTTATGGACGTTTCCGATAAGCGATTAAAACGGGCTGTTTATTATGGGCCATTTTCAGCTGAAATGGCTTGTTGCAGCCCATGGATACACGCAGACAGCAGCGCATGACATGGGGCGGAAGGGACCAGCCGCCTTGTGTGAATTTGTTTTTAGAAATAGTATTAAACTAGAAGATGGTGGGGCTAGCAAAGGGACGTCAACTGGATTTTCCAGTTCTGTTTCTGGCCTGATTTATCTTTACAGTGTGTTTGGCGATCAACATTCTAATTCCCCTATGTCTTTTCTCTCACCTCTCTCCCTCTCTCTCCTTCCCTCCTTCACTCTTCAACTTCTTGCCCTCCTCCTTCCTCTCTCCTGCATTCTCTCCCACTGCTCTAGTCTTCATCCTCTTCTTTTTCTCTCTGTCTTTCCTGTTACCGTCTCCTTTCCTATCTCTCCTCTCCTCTCCTTTCCTGTCTCTACCCCATCCCCCTCCTGCCCCCTTCAATTTTGTGTGTGTTTGTTTAATAACTTTGCTGCTTTTATTTTTGTCTTTTCATAGTAACTATGTCCAGTACACAAGAAGTTGTGTTATGGTTGGGGGAGAGAGTGGGGTCAGCCAGGTGGATGTTTTCTTTGGATGTCAGTTTTGTCTTTTGTTGTGTTATATTTGTTAGCACCCAGGGTGTTTAAACTTACTATAATTGTATTTATAATCTATGTCCGTCCCCCTATGTGCCTCCTCATTTTTTTGTCCTACCTGCCTCTTAACTGTTTGCCAGTCTGTCTGTCACTGCCTCCTCTCTTTTTCTCTTTGTAATTGCCATGCTTCTCTCTCTCTCTCTCTCTCTCTCTCTCTCTCTCTCTCTCTCTCTCTCTCTCTCTCTCTCTCTCTCTCTCTCTCTCTCTCTTCTCTCTCTTCTCTCTCACTCTCTCAGTCCAGATTTTCTTTCCTTAATCTTTATTCTCTCTCCCATTCTCCTCACCTCCTCTGCCTCCCCATTTCCATCTCCGCCTTCTACACCACCCTCCACCACCTCCTTCCCCCCTCTCCTTTCTGTAATTGAAGAATCAGAAATAAAATGGGAGTCCACTGGAAAGTGACCTATTTTCCTAGTATGCTGACCTATTTTCCACATTTTGAAAATGTTGTTGATAAATAAAGTTCTCAAAGAGAATGAGAAATAAGCATTTTCTGCTTGTGTAATTTTAAGACCTGTGAAGTTCAGTTGTATTTGGTGCTAACTTTCTGTTTGCAGCAAGCAAGCGCTACATTGTTTGAGCAAGTCTGCAACGAGAGACTTCAGCAGTTTGAAGATGATAGTGATGAGGATATCTGGGAAGAAAAACCTGTTGCTTTTAATAAAACTACCCAGCATGCAAGACTAGAGTGAGTACAAGTATTTTTTTTTTCTTTTCTGCTTTTCATCACCCTTCATCCACCTCCTGCCAGGTTCTTTTGTCCTTTGTTATACCTTGTTCCTTTTATGTATTCTGCACTATCCACCTCTTTATCTTTAGTACATGTTTTAATCTTATATTTCTTATAGGATATTTTTTTTTCTGCTTCATTCACAGTGATACTTACGCTCTGGTTACACTCAGGGGGTCCTAAATACAAACCTGGTGTCGGTGTTTCAACTCTTTTGATACCAGAGAACAGTGTAATTAGTTATAAATCAACACATTGTGCATTCCTTAAAATGTAAAAAGAGAATGTGTCTTCAAAACAAAAACAAAAAAGGGAGGGCCCTGTTAATATGCATTAAGGCAAATGGAAACATGGTGCTAGCCACATATTTTTATGACAGATCAGCACTCAGCAGGGTTAATGGTTGTTACCACACTGACTGGGCACGTAGTAGCAGGGTAATGTCAGAATTAACAGCTCTCCTTGTGGGTTCAGGGGTCCCAATGTGGGGGGAAACAAGAATAACCCACTGCTTCCCCAGCAAACATGTCGTAAGAGTCGACTAATTGGGGGCTTCCTTTGAAGTCAGAGGACATCTGCCCGAGAGGCAAGGAACCAACAATCTGCATAAAATGAAGTCAGATCTGTTAGATGTGCACGCAACACTAAGGTTCTGGAACAAGACTAAAGTCTGGAAGTGCACAAACAACCAGAACTTTCCGCTGGAGTTTAAAGTCAGTGAACGCGAAGAAGCAGATGAAGTTTAGCAGCAAAACCCTTTGACATGACCCCAGTGATTGTGTCCCTGGTGTATATTGTGAAAATCTTTGAAATCTCTGGGAGCAAGAAAGTCTGCAGGTATTCCACTTGTTACAGGAGATGTATACTACATAACTACTGTACTACTAATGCTGCGAGGCATTCAAGGAGTTGAGAAATGAAGAAGACAAAATTTTGTGAACTAAAAATAAGATTACTTTATAAAATTTTTAGAATAGGATAGCAGAAAGTGAGTTGATTTTAGGAAAGCTTAGAAGATACAGATGCAAAGTAGCAGAAAGGAAAAATAAATGTGGGTCGGCAGAGAAATTGGCAAGAGACCAAGAGCTGAGATTGAAGTGATGTTCTGTAAAGGACCAGCTGCATTATGATAATGGCAATAATAGTTTCTGTAAGGTGATGTCTGCATTTTAATATTTGCAATTTCCCCTCAGGATATGAGTAAAGTACCCTCGCCTTTGGATTGGAAGGTCGTTGAATCGGGAACTGATTGAGACATAAATTTTTTTTTAAACAACCTTATCTCCTATGTCGACCCAACCTTAAGTGGGTATGAGGTATAGTCCTCGAAAGTACATGGGCCCGAGTGATTTGACCACATCACCCACTGAGTGTCAATTGTCTATAAAATGTAGGTTTAGCCCTATATGCCTAATTTGCCTGAAGGAGAGGGAAAGGGTCCTTTTTAAAAAAAAAAAGCCTTTTCACGTAGTGTATCGTGTAAATGATACCAGACTCGTATTTTTATAGAGCAACCAGCACTCAATGGGTGGGGGTAGTCAGTATCACATTGGCCGCTGCCTTCGAGCAAACAGGGTACCTTCAACTTCGCAACCACATTTACACCAAATTTCAGATAACCAAATTTCAGATTGGCGAATCAGCCATGATGACTGGCACTTAAGACAGCAGATCACAACCTCCAAGACTGTCGAAAATTCAACATTTCCAGGCAAAACCTTTGGCCAAGAGAGACACTTGTGAAAGCCAAACTTTACGGGCCACTAAGTGAATTTAGAAAAGACAGTGAAGTTCATGCTAGAGACAGCACTGCAGATATAAATAATTTATTTCAAGATACTGGCTGCCTTTACTTTCCAGGACTTTCCTGTACCCAGTTTAGGCAGGGATTTGTGGATATGATATCAGGCATTTCTCTTTCAGAAGGTTACAAGCTGCCACAGCTAGATGTCACAGCAGTGATGAGGACAGCACAGACAGTGGAGAAGAACTGGACTCTCCCGTCCGGATAATGCAGCATCCAGCTGAGGGCATGGATGTTGACAATTCTGAAGGTAAGTTAATTGACTCTGTAATTTTGATTAAGGTTTAGAAAATTAGGATGTTCCTTTTAGAAGGGCTATTTCCTCATGTTGATGTGTTTTGAATTGTGTGTAAAAACATCTTACATAGATAATTATCAGGTAGATGAATACAATGTACTGATAAAATATGAAGGATCCTGTTTCCAAGCCATAATGGCATATTAGAGAGACGGTTCTATACATATATTTACTAGTCAAAACAACACTCATTGGATGATGTATATAATTATAGTTGTTGAATTCTTATTCAATCTGTTTATTATTAAAAATGTAATATACTATTACTATTACTTGTTGAAAAGGAGCTGCTGCAGAGATGTAGCTGTTAGCCGCTCGCCTGTGGATCGCCTGCCGGAGCCGGATCTTTTTTCCCAGAAATCTTCTTCTTCTTCGCGTTCACCAGCTGTACACTCTGGCGGAAGGTTCTGGTTGCTCATCCACTACTGAACTGCAGTCCTGCTCCAGAACCTGAGTGTTGCGTGTGCATCAGTTTTACAGATCTCATTCTCTTGAATACAGACTGTTGGTTCCTTGCCTCTCCGGCAGATGCACTCCGACTTCAAAGGAAGCTCCCCAATTAGTCGACTCTTACGACATGCTTTTGGGGAGGCAGTGGGTCTATTCTTGTTTTCCCCACAATGGGGCCCCGGAACCCACACGGGGGTTTCCCAGAAATGATTCTGGCTTCCAAGTTGACCCAGTCTTAAATGAGTACCAGGTAAAGTCCTGTGAAGAAAAGGCAGCCGATGCGATGATGACTACATCACCTGCCGAGTGCCGATCAGTCTATAAAATATAGGTCTAGCCCTATATGCTCAATACACCTGAATGCGTGGAAAAGGACTCTACTTTACTTGTTGAATGCATATTGTACTGAGTGAAAGTCACTGTACATCATGCAATGGCAACAGTTTTCCTATAATCCCATGATTTTATTGTGGAAGGCTTTTCTTAACACGAGCTTCTGGTCATGCAAGCAACACTCCCTGTTGCTATGGGCTGATGTTTCTTATGCCACATTATAGCACAATGTAATACCATTATCTGAAAGACAGAAAAGATGCCAGAAATAGTCGCTACAGATAACATTCTGTATCCATTTCCTTCTTCACCCTTTTCACATTTTTATTATATTTTTTCTGTTGTTTCTACTAATACAGATACACACAACTGCAATTATTGGGCCCTAATTGATGATAAACTGGAGTCTAACAACATTCTTGTAGTTGCACTTCCTATTCTAGTTACAGAATTATAAATCAGTTTTTTTTGTCTGGACAGTGGGTCATTGGCCGGCAGACTCAACTTCCCAGTCAGATCATACTGCAATGGACACTACGTATTCACCTTGGGAAAAACTGTCACCGGCTGAAGCCGCTACAACCACCACTGCATCACCACCAGAAGAAAGTTGGGCTGATTTTACAAAACTTCCCACACAGTCAGAGACTGAAGAGAACTGGGCAGATTTTGCTTCTTTTACAAACATCCAGTCTTCGTAAGTTCTGTAACTGTTTGTGGGTGTGTGGGCGGATAATTATTGAATGAGTGCTAAAAACAAGTGAAGAAAAAGACACTAATGCCTGAAAACAATTTTCACCCTGTCAGTCTCAGAAGGTCCTATTTAATATTTGAGGGAGACAAGAACGACAACCCTAAACTTATGGATAGACTCCTTCTTCAGGGGCCAAATACCTAATCCTGGAAGAAAACTTTTTCTCTGAATTTTTAAAATTAATGAATCCTCCACTAAACCTCACACATAAAACACACTAAACCTCACACATAAAACACACTAAACCTCACACATAAAACACACTAAACCTCACACATAAAACACTAAACCTCACACATAAAACACACTAAACCTCACACATAAAACACACTAAACCTCACAAATAAAACACACTAAACCTCACACATAAAACACACTAAACCTCACATATAAAACACACTAAACCTCACATATAAAACACACTAAACCCCACATATAAAACACACTAAACCTTACACATAAAACACACTAAACCTCACACATAAAACCAAAACACACACATAAACCTCTAACTCACACATACAACACACTAAACCTCAAACATACAACACACTAAAAAAAACCTGCACACACATACAAAAACACTAAACCTCACACACACAGACTACAACACACTAAAACCTCACACACCAACACTAACACACTAAACCTCACACATACAACACACTAAACCTCACACATACAACACACTAAACCTCACACATAAAACACACTAAACCCCACATATAAAACACACTAAACCTTACACATAAAACACACTAAACCTCACACATAAAACACACTAAACCTCGCACATAAAACACACTAAACCTCGCACATAAAACACACTAAACCTCACACATAAAACACTAAACCTCACACATACAACACACTAAACTTCACACATAAAACACACTAAACCTCACATATAAAACACACTAAACCTCACACATAAAACACACTAAACCTCACACATAAAACACACTAAACCTCACACATACAACACACTAAACCTTACGTATAGAACATATATAATTTACTCACTGGTACACCTGGATAGTATCCAGTTGCACATGGTGCTTTGATTGGGACAGAAAGTATTAAAAAAACCAAAAAGAGAAGGAAAAATGCAAAATGAGAAGAAAGTTAAGAAGAATGAGAGACTAAAAAGACAAGAAATTACAATAGATATACCAAATAATAGCCCGACAGAAGATAGTTATGAGCCTATCCACTATTCGGTGGATAACATGTAACAATAATAAGAAATTTCTAGTGTCCATAATAAATATGGTGTTTTTGTACCATCAGGGCTTTCTTAGCTGGACTAGCCCCTATCAGTTAGCTGATATAGAATAGTTAAGTATTTCATGCCTTCATCTATTGGGGGGGGGGGGGGTGGTGGCGAACGACACCCCCCCCCCTTCCCACCACAACCAAGTATACCATAAAAGGCAATTAATAAGTGGTGCTTCCTTCAAAGTCGGAGTGCTTTCTGCCAGAAAGGTGAAGAGCCACCGGTCTCCTCAAAAAAAAAAAAAAAAGCTAGATCTGACAAATGGGTTTGCATGCAAAAGTTCTGGAACAAGATTAAGTTCAGAAGTGAAGAAACAACCAGAACCTTCCACCACAGTTTACAGCCGGTGAACGTGAAGGAAACTTACGTTGACTTAATATATTGGGCCACTTGTTAGGTCTTCACGGGTGCATAGGCTGTGTAGTTTAGTTTGGTTATTCACAGCCTCAAGTGGCAGAGTGTCTAAGACCCATTTGATAAGCACAAGAGTACAGTTCAGATTATTGTCACAGTACTATGGACATGTATGTTAATTGATACCCCAGTCTCAGTAGTATATGTCAGTGTACTAAGTCTGTTCAGAGGAGTATCTCACCTTTGACTAGAGAAAATACACTCAATCCTCTTGTGGCCTAAAACTCTGATCCTCCTCAAAGTGGTCTCTGGTGATCCCACCAATGTTGGAAGGATTTCAGGAAGGTCTCTTAGAGGGGAGTATGGGTTGGTCTGCATGTTCTGCAGTGTGACTTTTTACGACTTAAATTGGGTTTCTTTCAGCTGCATTTTCAGCTTGAAGAACAGTTGAATTTGTAAAGTACACATGCTGGAAGAGTTTATAAAAATCTGTACAATGTTCACTATATTCATCCACTATTGGGCTAAGTGCCAGTGGGTAAAAACAATGCACACATGAGCATGAAAGTACTCTGCATCCTTTCTGCTCGAAGACATGGGAAAAAAATGTCTGATACTTTGAACAGACTTGTACACTGAATGTAGTGTCTTGTTCTGAGTCTGAAACTCCCAGTCAGCTAGCTGCTGCTGCCTGTTAATCATATTGAAATTGATTTGATTTTCTTAGATGTTTGTTTAAAACATAATGTCGCAAATGTATTTCTCCTCAGTTCTGTTCGGGGCCCTAGAATGAGTTCTCCAGTGGAGATGGACACAACCGAAAATGTTGCGAGAGGCAGCCCATATGGTGAGTGAATTCATCAAAATTTGTTTTTTTTTATAAGATTCCTTGCATGCACTGCTCACATCTGGATGTAGATATGATAGATTTATTTTTGCTGGCTGACATGGACTATGTGGCTTTTCATCTTAAGATTTACCCTGTGTGTGTTCTGGAGCCCCATTTTGGGAGGACACAGAAAAAAGCCACTGCCCCTTAACCAGCTTGTTGTGAAGGGTCACTAATTAAGTAAGGATTTGCTGTAAACAGATGTGTTGGGACAGATTTCACAGCCTGGCTGTAAACCACAACACAACAGCTAACTGCTCTTTTCAAGATGCACTAAGAAGTAGAAAATCTGTCGATCTCAAACAGCATGTATCATTCATTTGCTAACACTCTTTTTTTTTTGGTGCCATGACAAAAGCCATTAAAGAATCTTTTCTTGTTCAAAATAATGTTTTCCTTAGTGAATTTAAATAATGTCACAGACACCAACAATACACTGCACAACTTGTTGCCTGCTATATTTCGCTGTAACGTGTCAGGTGCATTACTACAGAGTTTACATCAACACATAATGAAGCACAGAAAACTAAATTGTTTCCATTGATATACAGAGAACACATCATCACTCAGTCAGTACATTGTTGCTCTTATCACTGGAAGAACAAGATAGTCATGTGGTTTACCACACCAAATTTAAATTTGACACTGATTCCTTCTGCGCGCACAAAGGCGGATTATTTGTTAAAATTAAAAAAGTTTCTGCCAGCTTCAGCAATCTCCTGTTCAGTGTGTGCATAACGCGGAAGGCACAGTCTCTATTATTCTCCCCCCCCCCCCCCACTCAATCAGATGACTTCTTAATGAGCAGCAGCTAGGTTCCTTTGTATCGGTTCCTCTTGACACACTTGTGGGATCTGGACTCATTTGCATAATTAGCCATTTAGACTATCTTCTCTAGTTGTCTTCCTCAATCTCTTCTTTATAAATGTAGCCAATAGCTTTAAACTTGTGTTAAACTTGATTGCTTCTGTGTGATTTTTGTGATAAGTTGATTTAAATCTGTTTTTAAATATGTCTTCGTCTTCAGCATTTTGAACCCTTGAGGTTCATTGCTGCAGATATCACACACACACTCTCCCACTTTTCATCTCTGGCTGTCTCTTTCTAGTTAGTGATTCCAAGTGTTTGTGGCCTGCCCGACTATCTCAGAACCGTCTTATTGGTCTGCCTCGTTGTCTACAGCAGTTCAGCTTCTTTGTGTGCATAGTTTTTGCCTCTTTGTCATCTGCCATTCTCTTTAAATGTACTAGCTATTTCATGTAAAATTTGATACTGATGACATATTTTGCCTCTTCAAGGAATTGTTTTGTGAAACTGTTTCTCTGATCCTATGGACATTTTTTTTTTAAAATTTGTTTAGTAAATGTCCAGGATTGACAGATGTTTGTCAAAATTTGCTCTATTTAATATGCAGGAATTCCTTTTCTAAATATCATTGGCAGGTTTTTTTTTTAAGTAAGAAATTCTTCATTTTATGAAATGCAGGTTTGCTTGCCCTATTCATAAATAATTATATGTATTGTATTTATGTCATCATTTAAAATGAAATAGTATTCTAATTAGACAGCTTTCCAAACTTGGACAATGTACCTTTCATTAAAAAAATTAACAGGGAAAAAAAATGTGTGCTTGCTCGCATATTTATGCATTTATTCATAATAATAGGTTGCTTCACTACTGATGTTTGCCTCTTATGTATGTATAGTTTATATTTTTTAAATTACATAATGCTGTGTTTCCAAATCTACAGTATTATCTAACATTGGTAATCAGAATCAAGTCAGTTCAGCAGCAGCTACCACCACCACCAGTCAGTCTGCAGTCTTGCCAGGTTAGAACTCATCATGGAGTTATTCTTTGTTTCTTTGAAAATAAAACTCACCCTGAGAATAAACTCTTGCATGATTATTTTTTTCCCCAGAGTGCTTGTAATATAAGTAAAAGGACCCTTTTCCACGCCCTTAGACCAATCGGCACAAGATGGGTGATGTGGTCAGCATCACGCCGGCCACCTTTACTTCCCGGGACTGCACCCGGTACTCACTCAAGGCTGGGTCGACCTGGGAGCCAAGGTCATTTTTGAAAAAAGTCCTGCTCTGCCACGGCCACTTCAATGTAATATAAGTTCTACCCCAAATATTAGGCCTAAGTAAGATCATAACCAGTCAGGCAGATTTTGTTCATCCACTGAAATGCTCAGTGGAGAAATTGAATTATAAAGTAATGACATATTTCAAATAAATCCAATATAATTATAAATTTGAATTAATAATATTATATTGAATTAATGTAAATGTTGGCATTAAGGCTTTAAATGTAGAATTTTTTTTAACATGAAAATATCCAGAAAATAAGCTCTAATGTGTCATTTTTGGAAACAGAATTAATATATAACCTGGTCTTGGAAAAAGGGGGGGGGGTGTTAGATGTACCAAGAGCAGCTCTCACTTGAGAACCCAGTTTAACTTTTTTGATCATTTTTAATTGGCACAGTGACAATATCAGTGTCAAGTCTATTTTTCCTTCACATTCACTGTTTGTTTCTATTTCCGTCTATTGGAAGATCCTGGTTGATTGTCCCCTTCTAGACCTGTGAGTGCTACGTGCACATCTGTTTTACAAACCTGGCTTATTTTTTGTGTGCACATACTATTGGTTCCTCCCTCTCGGGCACAAGCAATCTGAATACATAGTTAAAAGCTGATCAATCTGCATGAAAGAATGTAAATATTGAAAGTCTAGCATTACAGTGTAGTTATCGAAGGACCCTTTTTTATTATTTCATTTGATTGCAGTTTTTTAATCAGCACTCGAGTAATGTGGTGAACAACACACTTGCCCGCCACTTTTACTTCCCATGACTTTTTCCTTGCACCCATTTAAGCCTGGGTTGATCTAGGAGTCAAGATTACATTTTATTTTACAACTCCTCCCCGCACGGATTGAACTCAAAACCTTTAGGGTGGCAAATGGGCATCTAGCCACTACTACTATTACCTCCAAAATGTTAGCACTCATGACTTCTTCTTTTGTCAATATCTGCCTATGCTGCTAGGCTTCGCAGCTCATCAGACGATCGGCAGCCGATAAGGACACGCTCAATCGCTTGTTATGTTGTGATGTTATGCAGTCTCAAGGTGTCAGTGAAGGTCTCCTCCAATCCATCTTCTTCTTGGTCTTCCCCTGCCTCTTGATGTTTTGATTTTCAGGTTGTACGCACTTGCTGCTGGCACCATGGATTTGGCCAAACCAATTTGTTCTTTGTTTCTCAATAAATTTGACGATAGGTGTTGTTTCAACAGTTTTTGTGATCATGTCGTTTCTCACTCGATCTCTTCTGGTTTTTTTTGCAGCCATTCTCAAACATCTCATCTCACAGATGGTTAGTTTTCTTTTGTCAGTGTCTAAGCCTGACATTGGTAACCATAAGTCTGTATAGCACTTATTACTAATATTTTTTTAAAAATATGTACCATCTCCACAATGGCGGATAGCTGCAGTCTGTTTTCTGTTAGGTTTAGGAATATTAGGTCAGGTGGCCCCAAGTCTCTTTCTTTTGTGAATCCCGCACCACTGTCTGAAAGCCACAACAGTGGCTTTTTTTAAACCGTCTGCATTCTTCTTTGTTCACCGGCTGTAAGCTCCGGAGGAAAGTCCTAGTTGTTGGCTTTGTGCCAGGGCCTGAGTTTTGTGTGAACATCCATTTTTTTGGGCTTGTTTGTGTGCAGTTGTTCCTTGCCACTCAGGCAAATGAACTTTGACAGAAGCTCCCAGTTAGTCAACTATTATGCAATGATCATTGGAATGGCACTGGGTCTGTTCTTGTTATCCCCACAACGGGCGTCCGGAACTCATAAGGGAAGCCTGAGGATTGAGACCTACATGGCTAGTGCTGACTGACAGATATTTATTTTATTTTATTTCACTTCAGATTTGTGTTTGCATGTGTCTATTTACTGTAAGTGAAGAAAAAGAAGTCAGTTAAAGGACCCTTTTCTCACCAGTGGTGTATACAGCATATGATGCTAGGCTCGTATTTTTTTTTTTTTTATAGTAGCCTAGTCAGCTCTCTGTGTGTGAAGTGGTCAACATCGTGCTGCAGGTTTGACTTTGCAGGACATTAACTTTTAATCATTTTAGACTAAGTGGACCTGAAAACCAAGGTCATTGTTTTTTTGTATTTTTTTGTGTGTGAGAGAGAGCGATCTGTCCATGCTGGAATCAAAGCCAAAAGTGTCAGACTGGCAGATGGACATCTAGTCACTAAACTACTGTATCTTGCTTTGACTTCTATAGCAAATGTTGATTTTTACTATGGGGTTCCAGGTGCAGGGGACACGCATGTGACGAGCCATGAAGAGGAGGAGAAGGACAGTGACAGCTTGCAGCCAGATTCAACGTCACAGAGTTTGCCCCGCTCTCATCAGCTGGCATCAGTACATTCTGCATGTGTGGTTAACGGCAATCCCTCACCACTTCCAGACTCATCGCCACATGATGTGTCTCACACTGCGGCTGTTTCACTTTCTGTGGAGGCATCGGCCGCAGATTCCCAAGTTTCGAGGTAATGTATGCATCACTGGGTTGGTTGCTTGATCTTAGAGAAATGATCTACGTCCACCTCTAGTTTGTCTTTTTAAAGTCTTTGTGTGTCTGAAGGCTTTCCACCTCTTCCACTTTATGCAGTCCTATGTCAGCCTGAGTGTTTTCTCATCTCCAGCCTCTGTGTGCTTTATTTCTGCTCCTGCTAAACCACTGCTGCTGACATGGTCTCGGTATTTTTGCTTCTGATGTCCTTCTTAGGGCAGTTCACCACTCAGCTCTCTCCTGTGGCTCCCAGCAGCTGTCCTGGCTCATATTGGACTAATCAGCCACCTTCCTACTCATAATCATTGATCGTTACTACTTTGATTGAAAGTGGTCTTCTTCACTCATTATGGACATACAACATTTAGGCTTCTGAGACACGATGCAGTTTATAAACATTTTCTGAGATCTTTAGATTTCCCGTTGAGTTCCCGAGTTCCAGGAGTCTACATACAATCAAAAACCAGTTCTGTAAAATGGATCTGTGCACAAAATTCAAGGTCTTGAACTAGAAATGAAGTCCAGAAGTGGGCGAACAACGAGAACTTTCAGAGTTTACAGGCGGTGAACATGAAGAAGAAGATGTTAAGATCTTAATGACTTGACATGAAGTTTGTAAAACTGTAAGGGCCTTTTTTTTTGCCATTGATGGATGGTTCATATGTTGTAGTCCCCTGTTTTCATAGACTTATCGGCGCTAGGTGGCTGATGTGGGCGGTGTCAACAGGAGATATCCTGTCGCTAATTTTTTGGCCAGTTCCAGGTAAATTGTAAAAATTCATCTTGATTTTGATTCAAACCTGAAAACTTCAGGCTGCTACTAATACACCTTTCTGCTACAGTACAACATCTCTCAGCATTACATTATATTAGTCCTAATATTTAAATAAACTGCACCATTTTTTAGAATAAACCTCCTTTCCATCATTAAATTGATGCGGATTCAAACCTGAAAGGTTCAAGTTGTCAGTAATGCACCTATCCACTACGCCACCACACTCTCATGTCATGGTGCTGATTCAAACCTGAAATGTTCAGGCTGCCAGTAATGCATCTGTCCACTATGGTACCATATCTCTCAGCATTTCATTATATTAGTCCACACATTTAAATAACTACCTTTTTTAGAGTAAACCCCATTTCCATTGTGTCATAAATGTGATGTGTATTGCATTCTTGATCAGCAGCACATCATCAGAGTCCATTAACCCAGCCAGTGAATGTAAACTCCAGACTGTGGTGTCAGTGAGCAGCACTTTACCTGATTCATTTAGGACCAGTACCTCAGAAGCTTCTACAGATTATGTAGGTTTGGGCACACCTGCTGTTGGCAGTGCTGTTGTCAACTCTGGAGTATCATCTTCGGTTCAGTTAGTGGCTGCCAGTTGCAGTCCAGATGTTTCAAGGTAACAGTTTCTGAGTGTCTTAAATTTGTATCTTGTCATCTTGGGGTTGATCAGTATGTGGGGCCTTAAATGTTGGTTCAATGAATGGTTTTCTGTCTTTATCAGTTACCTTGTAACTACAAGGCTTTGATTGTAAGCCAGAACCTGCTGTCTGTCTATTATTCTTATTTGGCCAGTTGTGCCAGCCTTCCTTTTCAGACTCCTTACTAAACTTGCTAGCTAACCGATGAGGTGGCTAGTCATCCTAACCACATTGCATGTGAGTAAAGGACTCTTTTCTACGCCTTTAGGCATATTGGGCATGTAGGGGTAGATCATAATACGTGATGGCCTCATAATTGATTGTTCACTATTCGTGCCAAACGGTACATCAGAAATCTGAATAAAGTTGAGCAGCAGTGTTTGACTTCAAAATATCTAAACACTGATTTATAAAATGTTAATCGAATTGTATGCTAGTTTGGTTCTTAACCCTTCCAGACCTGCCCCCTATACCTGAGCTCCTGGGCTTTAACACGAAAAACCAACATGATATACAGTTACATGCAAACAAGTGGCTAGATCAGATGAAACTTAGAGACGTTGTAGAAAAAATGTTTACCTTTCATCTAGCACCAATATTCCACCTTTGTGTGCTAATCCACCCAGCAGGATTAGCCTTGTCTCACAAAGTGAGCACCAGATGTTGCTGTTTGAGTGACACGCCCCTTTCTCTTACTATCCATCTAGTTTTAAATCTATAATTTTCAAGATTCTCCTCATCATTCAAGCTCTCACTGACTGTGTCACTTCAACTGAGAAAGTATTCTTCATGAAATTTTGACTTCTCAGAGTCTGAATCAACCAAAGTATCGATTACCTGTTGGACTGCGAAAAGCCTAGACCTACTTCACTTTCCTATAAAAATGCTTGGTTCATCAGCCGCTTGTTTCATTGTGAATTTTTTCACGTTAAACCACACAAAGTAAATCCAAACACATGTGGGCAGTCATTCAGAATGTCTGACCCCGAGGTTTGATCACGATTAGTTGGTTATTTTTAATTTGTAACGCGTTTTATCACATGGTACGAAAAGTAACGAAAATTACGCACAGCGTTTTTGCGACAGATAAGGAAATTACTGGAAAAGCGGGACAGAGGTTTGGTAGAGTAAAGATGTTTTGCGAAATTCCATGTGACGGTTTTGTTAACTCCAGTCTAATCTTCTAAAAAGGTTTAGTAACAACAAATTGCATAATTTGGTTGATATAAACCGTGTGACCTTACTATACTGACCTCTCTTGGCTCTATAATGACCTCCCTTGCCTGTTACATTAGCTGTGAATAAAATCTGACATTGTTCGTCGTTGTCCTAATGGATAGTTATATCCTGCTTCATATGACAATAGGGGAATGAACAACAGAAAGAGCTCAGGCCTTTCAGATGTGGATATGCAGAAGAATTAGGCCTTTCAGATTTGGATATGCAGAAGAATTAGGCCTTTCAGATTTTGATATGCAGAAGAATTAGGCCTTTCAGATGTGGATGTGCAAAAGAATTAGTTGCTGTATTTCATGGAAAGAAAACAAATCCAGAAGTTCTGGAGAGACTGGGAATGAAAACAGAGTTGTTGAAAGAAATACTTCTTCGAAGTCAGAGTGCATCTGCATGTGAGGTGAGGAACCAACAGTCTGCATTTAAATAGGCCAGATCTATGAAATAGATGCACTCACAAAACTCAAGTTCTGGAATATAACTAAAGTCCAGGCATGGACGAACAACTAGTACTTTCCTCCTGACTTTACAGCTGCTGAACGAGAGGAAGTAAAATAAATAACCCCCCCACCCCCGCCCCCAAATAGATGTGTGAAATATTTTAGTCACCTTTGAAGATGATGCTTAAATTAGAACTATACTCGATGGGAAAAACCAAAGGCGCGGGAGCAAGAGGAGACATTGATACCCACATGAAGATAACAGTAGTCTGAAAGACATAGAGGGTTAGAGGGGCACTACAGCTACATTATTGTACAGATTGTCTGATTGAAAAAACAAAAACACCCTAACGCAAGGCCAGCTTGTTTAACTACTTTTTGTGTTTCGAATTCTGTGTCATCCCCACAAAGAAGGTTGGCTACAGTGCACCCACTTCGATCTTTGAGTACATAATGTAGTGAGGCCCTAATCTATTCTACGGTGCGACTCATACTACTGTCCAAGCCACAGGGATTTCTTTTTTTTTTTTTTAAATAACCCATCTACCATGGCAATTGAACCCTTGTACTCGTGGATCATAACATTGTTAAATGCATTCACTCATTTTTTTTTCTTCTTCTTTGTGTTTCCTTTTCATATGCTCAGGTCAGACCATCAAGTGGCTTTCCTCTGTGAACTCGCATGTCAGCTGCCGATCCCTCATGGGTCCTCATAGCTTGCTCTGCACACCTTGCTCCTGAGGCCAGGTTTCTTTTTGAAGTTGTAGGTACAGTGGGCAGGATGTGCTCAGGTGTTTGTGGTCCTGTCTGACATGCACACTGTGGGGACTGTAGTCTTTATTTTATACATGTGGCAGGTGAGCCTGCAATGTCCTGTTGTTAGACTGGAAATTGTTGTATGTTGCTTTCTTTTGAGTCTACTGATAGGGTCTTGTGGGCGTTTACTGTTGGTTTCTTATTTCCACAATTCCTTGTATCTTCCCTTGATAAGTGTTCTGATTTCTGGTAATGACAATGAATGGCTGTGTTCTTTCTCATTCCACTAACTCATATCCTGGCATGAGTTTGGATCCACTGGAGAACGATTTGATTGTTTTCTGAGAGTCTGTTTAGCTGGCGGGTCAAATGTCTCTCCTTGTTGTCTAGTGGATCCCTTTGACTCGCCTGGATGACTGAAATGCAGTCACACAGGAAAATAATTTTTGTTGTTTTGCTGTTTTCAATTGTTCTTTCCTCAAGTGCTTTGCTCTAATCTGAAGTTTGTTGAGAGCTTTTCAGAGGCACATGATGTTTCTACCGTTCTCCCATCTTGCAGCAAATGACTGAATCAGCTCCTCCATTTTTTTTTTTTTTTTGGCTGCTCCCTCCAATGATCCATCGGTGCATACATGTGTCCATTCCAGATTCACTCATTTTAATGCCTTAGAGCCGCACTTTAACTGCTTACTGCTCAACAGCAACAAAAATGCAGATACTTGTTACACATTATCTCTAAAAACATTCTTGGAGACACAAGACAATCTTTCTACTGGTAGGTGAACAAATTTCTCAAAATGAGTGCTAGATTTTGTAAGTTGCATGCAATAAGCATAGGGTTTTCTGTTTACCCGTAGCATTCATTTTGGTTATTTACACTATCTCCCACCCCTTAAACAATAGGAAGGGTAAACACATTCAGGAAGATGGCCCTTGTGATCTTGGGTCCAATTTCAAGTAAGTTTTTCAGCTGTTGGGTGGCTCTTGTTACCTCCCTGTTGTGTAACTTGAATGTTTTGCTTTCCTGCTTGGTAAATGCACCTGCTTTCACTTGTTAATTCCGTGCTGCAAACGTTTTCTTGAAATTATTTTTTTTGTAAATAGAACCACTGTGCCCTATAATACCGCCAATGCAGAATAATCAGGGGTGTTTCCCTTGAAGTCAAAATACATCTGCCTGAGAGGTGAGGAACCAACAGTCTGCATAGAAATAAGCAAGATCTGTGAAACAGATGTGCACGCAAAACTCAAGTTCTGGAGCAAGACCAAGCAAGATCTGTGAAACAGATGTGCACGCAAAACTCAAGTTCTGGAGCAAGACCAAAGTCCAGAAGTAGGCGAACAACTAAAATGCTGAGAAGAATGCATGCAGGTGGAAATTTAATTCTGCACTTTGAGTGGTTGACTGGTTTTAAATGTTCATCTGGTAATTTGCACACATGTTGCGGACGTAAATTTGCCTAGAAAAATCACAATAGCCAAAATATGCTGGGGTTGGTTCTGCAACGTCCTGTAAAGGATACGCAACTAACACATGCTGTCAGTGTTGATAAATGCACCATTTGATGATTTAACATTAAGGTTTACATTTTGCAGTCATTGCTAGTGCACTGCAAAAACTGGATTGGCAGGCAGTACAGTAATGTCTTCAAGTGATTTTTGCTTTTTTGCCATTGCCTTTTCCAAGTATGGACTGGTGCCCAGTTTTGCTGTCTAATCTACTGAGTTAGGCTGTGTAGTTAATGGGAAATGGCTTTTGTTTGGGAGCATTTTCTATAGTGACATTCAGAACATGCTGGTGGCCAGTTTGCTTATGGTCTGGCTATATGCTTTATACTTTAATATTGTGCATCTTAATTTGAATGTATACTTCCACCGATGACAGTTTGCAGTTCTGGTGACAGCTGTTGGCACATTTTGTGACATGCCTTGTGTATTTACTGCATGTGCATGTTTCTGGATTCTGCTGAGACTGTTTGTTTACTAGTTGTTAAAAATTGGACAGTGAGGCGCATTTTGTGCAATTTTTATTGGCACCGAAACCGAGCAATTATGGGTGACCCATTTGCTATGAAGTTGATACCTAGACTGGTACTATTGTATGAACTGGATACTTTGAGATTCACATAGTGGTTGGTTGAAAGGTTACAGTGAGTTTCATGTGTTTGCTGGCTGTTATTAATAGAGCATCCTTACTAGTTGTTTTATATACAGCATACTTGCTGTCATTGTTGTAGCTCCACGTGAAATGATTACATTGAGAAATATACAAACAATGCCCCTTAACTCTTTTAGTCCCAGGAAGGTTTAGCGTCACAGGCTCTAGGGGTAGTAAAGAGAGACATAAAATCAGCGCATTATGCGTTTAATTGGGCTTCTAGGTAGAAACCTATGAACGTATGGGACTCAAAGAGTTAACAAATATATTGTAAAAGGTGACTAATTAAGGATTTACTGAAATTGCGTCTCCTGGGCAGAAAAAAGATCTTACAGCCTAAAGCAAAGGGAAGGATTTGCATACTTGCTGTCATTAGCTATCAGTGGAGTGTTGTGTTTCTCATCTGGTCACTTTGTAATTACCACACTTGCTGTCTTTGTTTGTTAGTACACCTTATTAAATTGTTAGATTTAAAAATCACTATCTGTCAATAGCTTTTCAGTGGATTGTTTCGGCTGGTCACGTTATAATAGCACACATTTTGTCATTAGTTGTTAGTACACAATATGAACAAGTTACATTGGCATTCCCACACTGGATGTAAATATAATAGAATGTTTATCATGTGAATTGGTGCTACTTCATTTGTGTGGGTTGCAGGGATCCATATCCCAGAGGGGGGAGAGAGTGGTAGTTAGCTAAGACCCAGGGCCTCCTAAAAAACATGTCACAAATAGCGACTAATTCTGGTTTTGCTGAAATGAGATATGTAGGGCCAAAAGGCGCAGATATCACAACCCAGCTGTAAAACACAACACTGTGTGCCAACTGCCCTTGCACGGGGAACGCAGAAGACGGCACCACTATAATTAGTGTCCTTGCTGTTGTTGCTTAGTCTCTAATTCTGCGTTCGTCCTTTAAAGGGTGGTGGCATCATTATGTTGTGGTTTACAGCTGGGTTGCAGTATCGGCACCTTTTCAGCCTCAACATATCTTTTTTAAGTAAAGCCAAAATTGTCTCCTTTTATAACATGTCAGTTAGGCAAACCCCCCCCCCCCCCCGAGAGCTGATTAGTACAGTTTCAGAACAGAAGTAATTATAAGACGTCCAGTTCACATGCTGAAGCAAATTGAAGGATTTTCATTGATTCAGTGGCTTTACTGTTTTATGTAGAACATCTTACAATGTTTACATTGCATTTATTACACTTTCTAGTAGCGTTTTTGTTTTTTGACACATCATTTTCAAATCCTGCCTGGGAATTCCAGCTTTAGTGAATGGTGGTGTGGTTGCCATCTAGAATGCTTGTGTTGTTTACAGAGGTTACCTTCATCCATCTGTAACAGTGCCTTGCAGTGTAACAACTAACTTATAGACTATTTCCTTGGAATTCCCTCCAATGTACACCTCCCTCATTAGTTGTTTGTTTGTAATCCTCCTGTTTGCTCCCCCAGAAATTGTCACTTCCCTCATTAGTTGTTTGCTTGAAATCCTCTTGTTTGCTCCCCCAGAAATTGTCACTTCCCTCATTAGTTGTTTGCTTGAAATCCTCTTGTTTGCTCCCCCAGAAATTGTCACTTCCCTCATTAGTTGTTTGCTTGAAATCCTCTTGTTTGCTCCCCCAGAAATTGTCACTTCCCTCATTAGTTGTTTGCTGAAATCCTCTTGTTTGCTTCCCCAGAAATTGTCACTTCCCCTCATAGTTGTTTGCTTGTAATCCTCCTGTTTGCTCCCCCAGAAATTGTCACCTCCCTCATTGGTTGTTTGCTTGTAATCCTCTTGTTTGCTCCCCCAGAAATTGTCACTTCCCTCATTGGTTGTTTGCTTGTAATCCTCCTGTTTGCTCCCCCAGAAATTGTCACTTCCCTCATTGGTTGTTTGCTTGTAATCCTCCTGTTTGCTCCCCCAGAAATTGTCACTTCCCTCATTGGTTGTTTGCTTGTAATCCTCTTGTTTGCTCCCCCAGAAATTGTCACTTCCCTCATTAGTTGTTTGCTTGAAATCCTCTTGTTTGCTCCCCCAGAAATTGTCACCTCCCTCATTGGTTGTTTGCTTGTAATCCTCCTGTTTGCTCCCCCAGAAATTGTCACTTCCCTCATTAGTTGTTTGCTTGAAATCCTCTTGTTTGCTCCCCCAGAAATTGTCACTTCCCTCATTAGTTGTTTGCTTGAAATCCTCTTGTTTGCTCCCCCAGAAATTGTCACTTCCCTCATTAGTTGTTTGCTTGAAATCCTCTTGTTTGCTCCCCCAGAAATTGTCACTTCCCTCATTAGTTGTTTGCTTGTAATCCTCCTGTTTGCTCCCCCAGAAATTGTCACTTCCCTCATTAGTTGTTTGCTTGTAATCCTCCTGTTTGCTCCCCCAGAAATTGTCACTTCCCTCATTAGTTGTTTGCTTGTAATCCTCCTGTTTGCTCCCCCAGACATTTCCACTTCCCTCATTTGTTGTTTGGTTGAAATTCTTTGGGGGGGGGGGGGGGGGGGGGGCTGCTCGAAAATTGTTACACATTCCTCATAGTTTTTTTGCTTGAAATCTTCCCTTTTGCTCCCTAAAAAAATGTACAGCTGCCTCATTTTGTTTGCTTGAAGTCTCCTTTTTGCTGCTCCAGAAAAAAAAAAAGTTTCTCCTGTGTTCTCATTTCACATACTGTTGTATGTACCAATTGCCCTAAAAATAGTTGTCCCATGAATAAATGTATCTCCCCCTCCTTTTCCCAATGAGATGATAAAATATAACCAAATTTTATGGGAAATCATTGTGAAAATAGGTTAGCAGCCATTATAAGAAAAAGACCAACTGTTATTTGATGTGAAGGAAGATATTGGAGAGAATTGTAACCAGAAAGACCAACGTTAGAAAAGGTAGAGACATAATGAAAGAAGTGATGCTGATCAGTGTTAGATTATGGCATGGAAGAATATCATCAACAGAACTGATTAAGAGTATTAAAGACTGACATCCAAAGAAAACGATGACCGTCTTTATCACTATGCAGTACCATCTTCTTCTTTTTCCCCCAAGTGTTCACTGTAAACTCCGCAAGAAAGTTCTTGATGTTCATCCACTCCTGGACTTTTGTCTTTTTCCAGAACTTGAGTTTTGCATGCAGATCCGTTTACACATCTGGCTTGCTTGTGTGCAGACTGTTGGTTCCTCCTCTTTTAGGCAGATGCTTTCTGGCTTCAAAGGAAACACCCCTAATTAGTTGCCATTGACAACATGCATGTTGGGATGGCAGTGGACCTGTTATTTGGTTCCTCCCTAAAGTGGGGCCCCAGAACCTTCCCTGCGACACACATTATGTGAAGGTGGGCCCTCCCTAAAGTGGGGCCCCGGAACCTTTCCTGCAACACACATTATGTGAAGGTGGGCCCTCCCTAAAGTGGGGCCCCAGAACCTTTCCCTGCGACACACATTATGTGAAGGTGGGCCGCCATCCCTAAAGTGGGGCCCCGGAACCTTCCCTGCTGACACACATGTATGTGAAGGTGGGCCCTCCTCAGAACTGTTCGTCAAGAAAATATCTACGATTTAAAATGTTTATCTGGGTGTGAAGTATGTAAAGATATACAAAGGGAGTAATCAGTAAACATGAACAGATTGAAGCATTAAAGATAATATATTTCTGAGTGCCTAAAAACAATATGTATCATGTGATTCATGCAGCAGCCTCCATCACTGAGGTTACAGGAAAATTTTAACGGCTGCGTGACTCTAAAAAAAAAAAAAGTATTCTGTTTACAAGAAAACTCCTTAAATGTAATTTTTGATTCAATATATTTATATCCTAACTTCCTAAACATTGGCCGGCATGCACATAGTCAGTAGTGCTGACAATATGCCTTGTAACCTAGAAAAGATGGTTAAGGGAAATTTACGGAAAAATTAAAATTGTTGGTTTTGTGGCCTCTCAGGGCATGAGGGATTAAGGATGTAGCAAACAACTCCAGCGTGTGATGACCGGTTTTGTTTAACTGATATTAATACCATGAGAATTGTAAGTGCGCTGGCCATTGAAGAAAGGGACAGAATGATTATGGGACATGTCCCGAGTGCTGTGATGTTAATTTTTCACCCAGTCTGTGGTTTACCATGCAGTTTTACGTTCAGGAGTTTGCTTTTGCTTTTCCTGGTCAACTCTGACAACGTTGTCTAAATCAGTTCAGAATGGTTTGTGTGTACAATTGATTTCTAGCTCTGGTAGTCGGAATTATGATACTCCATTCACCCCTGAACTGTGACATGCATGTCTAAACTTATTAAATACTTTCATAAGTTTGTCTAATAATCTGTCACAGGTTTTTACAACAAAATTTTCACTATATAATATGTCAGTGAAAGTTGCAGAACTACTATAGATGTGGAAGGAAAGTTACATGCAATAAACCACAGATCTATAAGGAAATTGATGAATATAAAATGGGATGAATGTAAGACAGGTATAGAAATCAGGAATGTCTGAACAGCCATGGTATCAACAGTTATAAGACAAAGAAGATGATATATTGGCCACATCTTAAGAAGAAGGTGAAGGAGAATCATAAAATAGTCCCTGAAATGATAAATAAATGGGTTCAAGAAGTATTTCCAAGAGAAACATTATGTCAAACGTTGATGAGATGCCAGAGGTGCTAGACCAGATTCTATCTGTGATATCGAAACCATTGCACAGGATAGAAGTAAAAGTAATCAAATGCAAGCCGTATGTTCAGTATAAGTAACACAAGAAGATTTTTCACTGATCTAGAAAATCTAATGAATATTTTAGATCTTAAATGTTTAATCAGACTCTTGTGTCTCTTTGACTTATAACCGAGTTCCTTTTCCATTAAGGACTAGTCCTATGTCAAGTTTGTATTTTTAAACATGTTCCGATTAAGAACTAGTCATATGTCAAGTTTTTTTTTTAAAATCACGTTCCGATTAAGAACTAGTCGAATGTAAAGTTTATATTTTTCAACACGTTACGATTAAAAACTAGTCGTATGTCAAGTTTGTATTTTTCAACACTAATTTAAAAAAAAAAAAACATCAAATGGGTGATACAAATTGTACACAAAACACACAAATTTAGTGTGTACACTTATAATTAGACCCAGCTGCTCTCTAGGCATCGTCTTGAGAATTTTTTTTATCCTACCCGTTATATTTCTTTGTATACACATTTTGTGTGGGTGGTTGTAAGTGTGGATAGTTATAAGTCACATGGGTCATATTTTGAGGAAAAGAAGTATATAATTTCCAAACTTTTTTCAACAGCTTCCTGGCTGGTGCTGGATTGATCAAGCCTATCCCTGCCCCTGCAACCTGCTCCGTCAATAGTCAGCTGTTAGAGTCACAAGACACGGAACCTGTGACAGCTCCTACCTCACAGTCAACAGCAGTTGTACCTCCCTCATCCATATTACCCGCAGAAGTGACCGATGGTCACTCGAGGCATCAAGAACCAGATACTGCTCAGTCTACATTAACACCAGCTCAAAAACTTGAACAAGCCAGGTGAGGCAGTAGAAAGTTGACAGTGTCAGCAGTGTTTGAGTGATGTATTGTAGTGTGTGATGTTAATGTTTACAGTTCGTTCTTCCTTCGAAGTCCGAGTGCAAATGCCTGAGCGGCAATGAACAACCAACTGCACATGAATAAGCCAGTAAAATGGATGTACACGCAAAAGTCAGGTCCTGGCAGAAAGCCAAAGTGCAAAAAGACCAACAGCCAGGACTTTCCCCGGAGCTTACAGCTGTTGGATAAAGAAGAAAAAGAAGTTTACTAGAAGAGCTACCAATAGTGTTCCTTCAGTTTTTGCCTGGGCAACTTTCTGGAGTGAGTGTAGTTGCTAAAATATAGCATTTAGTTGGGGTTTCCTTTATTTATAGAAATTGGGACATCATAATTTTCCATTACTTAGCAACTGCCAGACAAGTCACAAAATAAAAATGGGCCATGCTAGACTTGGTTTATTTTTGTGTGGTATTTTTTAACGCTCAGAAAGACATAACCTAGTCAGTTCTCTGAATTTGTGTTCATTGATTACGTCTATTATTCAGAATGATATTATGTATTCTTGTGCCCATAAATGAAATTGTTATGAATGATATTTAAATATTATTTTTTGTATTTATCTGATGTGTGTTTTAAAAAAAGAAAAAAGCCTATTGTAAACTAACTAATGAGTTTTCAAGTACTTATATCACTTTCTTCTAGGCATGCCAGAATGTCTCTATGTCCCTTCTCACTTTCTCATTTATGTTCCATGCATATGGTGTCTCACATATCATTCTCGCAGTTATGCCCAGGCCTCTTTTTTTAATGAACCTTGTGTTTATCACTGTCCTTCTAAGACATTGTGGCATTTAATATGGCCAGATTGGAATTTTAAAGAATGTTGATATTTTCTTTTTTTGTATCCATGATATAAAAATGTTCTTTAACATTTAAGTTAAAAGGCTCTAAGACTGGTAGAAGATTTGACACCCAGGCCCCAGCATGCTGTAAAGGTCGACTAATTAAGGGTGCTTCCCTCTAAGTCAGAGTATATTTGCCTGAGAGGCGAGGAACCAACAGTCTGCATACAAATAAGCCGGATTTATGAAACAGATGAGCACACAAAACCCACTTCTGGAACAAGACAAGTGTCCAAAAGTTGACAGACATAAATTTCTGCTGAAGTTTACAGCCGGTGAATGCTAGAAGAAGAAGACATCTGGTGACTGACAGAGCTAATTATTGAATCCCAGTTCAACAGAAACAATCCTAAACACATTATTCAACTGTATAAAACAGTTATATTAGGGCACACTGCTGGGGAAGGGGGGGGGGGGGGGAATGAGAAATCTGTGGTGTGAATGGTAACAGTTATAGAGAACCATTATTATTTGTATCAATTTATTCCTTTCAGAGCACAAGCAAAGGATGCTCAGGAACTGTTTGACGCAGCTGTTACTGTTCACAACGGCCCCGTCTGATGATGCTTGTCGACAGAATCCATGTGTCTGTGCATATTTCTGTCACCTCTCAACAACACTGTACATATGTAAAAACAAAAAATGTGTTTCCCTAATGAATGAACATATTGATCTTTTTTCTTTTTCAGATTATGAACAAAAATGATAGGGTGTATTTATTTTCTGTTGTTTTTTTTTTTTTTTTTTTTTTTAAATGACGTATGTTTATTGTATATCAGAAATTCTGGAACACTCAGAGAGGCACCCATTTAACACTGTGTATTTCAGTTATGAAGACGCAGATAGGTTGCACAACTGAATGCATGTCATATTTCACTGCTCCTGGAGTGAGTTCTAGGGCCCCATTTGGTTGGGATGTATCCTCTGCCCCCCTCACAGACATTTTGTAATGTGTTGAGCCGGGGAGTGCAGATGCCTTAGCTTATCTGTAAACCACAACACGACATGCCATTTAAAAGTGAATTTAGAAGAACAGTGGTGAGCACAGTACCAGGAAATGATTTCATAGAACATCAAAGAAAGCAAATGGTTTGATCTTCTGGTCAGAATGGTAACAAAAATCAGCCAGCAACTAGAGCGTACTACATGTGAACCACAGGCTACAGGTCAAAAGGCTGACCAAGAAAGAGATGGGTGGAGGGAGTAAAAGAGATACAGAAACGCAGTATGATATTAATGCAAGCTGCATCATTAACAAAAGACAGGAAACTACATCTAACTTGTCTCTGTGACACTTTATGGCATACACAGTAGGATAGAAGAAGACTGAAGGAGTGCCAGTTTATCTGCAATTATGGGTCTAGCACTTGATGTCCCAGTGTCCTGCGAAGTAAAGGTCACTTAGTATAATGTTGGCTACATTGTCAAGTTACCATTTGTTCTGTAAAAATATGGGAATTTACCATGTGACCACAAGCATTAAAAAGAACCTATATTTTACTTCCTATTTTTCTATATCTTGTCAGGCGCGTACTACACAGTTATATTATCATACTATGACATACAGCAAAGAATCATTTTACTTGAAACACACAATACACAGCTCCATGTTTTAGTTTTAAAAAAAAACACAACATACAAAACATTTTAAATTGGGTTGGTCGACCCCGTTGAACCGGGTTTTATCCCATAAGGCTTGATTTCTCTGCAGAATGATAGCCGCCTGCTGAGAGTTTCACAGTAAGCACAAACTCTAGCTCCAGTGATGATCTCCAGACTTGTTTAAAATGAACCTAAGGTCTGCAGAGAGCAAGGCAAACTTCACCAGAGACAACCCCCTACGCATACATCATCCTGTGTTTCACTATCGTTTTCAACTGGCACCACATGTCTGTTTGTATAACAAATAATACAAATGCTTATCACGATGGCTTCTGCAATTTTGAACGTGTTAATAATGGTGGTGAAATGTGCAGGGCGCTGATTTCATTAGTATAATGTTTTTGTCCTCACTATTCCAGTTCTTCATTGAAGTATTCAGCTGGCAGCTGCAAAGTTTAATCATTTTATGAGTAAATATTTTGTCATGACATTGAAAACAAAATATTGATCGCGTACTTAAAATATTCACCTCTAATGTCAAATCAGTTCTGTTGTTTAGAGCTGAAACATGTAAAACTGATACAGTAATTATTAGTAAACTAAAAACATGCATGAACTGGTGCCTGGGCAGAATAGAAGGAATTAAACGATATGACACGTGAGAGGGCCTATGCGCCATTGGGGGGATAAAAGGCAAGAGAAGACGTTTGCATTTGCTTTCTCAGCTGCTCTTGACACCATTGTGGAGTTCAGCACCCAGCTGTCTGCTATGTTAGGGATGTCTACATGGTATCCAATTGAGACTGGGCCCCCCCTACATGGTATCCAATTGAGACTGGCCCCCCTGGGTCAGTTTTGGAGAGAACAAATCCATCAAAGTGGTAATGTGAACCAAGAACTGTGTGTCACCCTGCAAGCTTCTAAATCGCCTGCTGCGGAGTCAAACCAGGTCTTTCAGCATTAGGAAGTTTGTTTGTAAGGAAATGAGATGGACCCACACGCACACGTCATGATGTCCACATCACTCACAGAGTTCCGATTGGTCAGTACAAAATTTAGGTCTAGCCCTATATGCCTGAAGGCGTGGAAAAGGATCCTTTACTTAGAATAGGATAACATAGGCCAACTTGGCATCAATTGGTTGAGGACTAAGGAATGATGGCAAATTTAGAGACATTAGCAAGGGTTCTCGTGGTTAAAATAAATATAAACCTAACAAGTCCCTTAAAGGTGATGAACACCTGTTTCCGTGCCTGCCTGGTATATGGAGGATATGTTGGTGAGCCATGTGAATCAGTCATGTGACTTCTGCACACAACAAAGTTTGGTGAAATAGCATTATCTCTTGTCCATTTTCGCATTTAGACAGGTTGTTGTTTGTCCATCTCTTGCCTTTTGTGTGTGTATGTGTGTGCGCATTCACTGGCTGTAAACTTCATTGGAAAGTTCTGGTTGTTCATCTACTTATGGATTTTAGTCTTGTTCTAGTACTTGTGTTTTACATGCTTGTCCATTTTACAGATCTGTCATATTTGTATGCAGACTGTTTTTCCTTGCTTCTCAGGCAGACACGCTTGTTAGAGGGGCAGTGGTAGTGTAGCAGCTAGAAACTCACCTACCCACTTGAAAGTCTTAGGTTCAGCTATGCTTCGAGGTTGATTTGTTTTTCAGAATTGACCTAGCGCCAATGCCTGACCCAACCTGATATGGGTACCTGGGGAAAAATAATAAAATATGTGCAGTTATAAACTGACGTAGCAGTCGGGACATTCCATAAGTTTTCTGTCCCCATCTTCAGCAGCAAGTGCAGAGTTCCAGTTCCAAAGGTATTAGTAATAAATTGAATGTCCGTCTGGCCCCTCCCCTGAGTGTTGAGCATCAACCAGATTCCCTAGTCACCTATTTGCTGCAACATCCTCTTCTTATGATCTGTTTATGCCTCCACATTGTTTACTCGCCCCCAAAAGGGTGCTTGCAACATTTTAGCTTTTACATCAATTGTGAGCATACAGAACCTTATATTTACAGCGGTAAAAGAGGAAGTGAAGAAGAAGAAGAAGATACATCAATTTACCAATAAGAGTTGCCTGTTGATTTCCTATCACACTGGCATACCCTTGAGAAAATATCCAAAGGATGCTAACTACCCTGGACTTCTCTAGTTATGCCTGCCACTCTGCAAGGAATGTAACTGTCTCCACTTTTCTCAACATGCTGTATGAGTCAGTTACAATCATGATGTGTGTGCTGATGGTTCTCAAGCCAACAGAAGGCTGTAGTGACCCCCACACCTCCATTCTCAAACTTTGTAATATGTGCAGAACTGCATGAGTTAGAATAAGGTAGCTCTTTATGTGTGTGCTTGTTTTTCTTAAAGTGCAGTTAATTCAAATTGTCTGGGAAGAAATGGTGATCCTGAGAACAGGCCAACTAACCTCATGTTTGAGGTCTAGACCAGTGTTTCTCACTTGGCCGGGTCTGCGATATTGTTTCAAGCAAGCACTTACATGAGAGAAGTAAAAGGATCGAGGAGGCGGGGACGTCCAAAAGAAACCCTAAAACGAATGTTTATGAGAGGCGCCAAGGGTGCTGGACTGAATTCATCCATGATATTGAAAGGACTGCACAGATAGACTGTGCGCGCTATGTGACATATAGTGGCACAACAGGACAGTGATCATAATGAAATGATGTACAAAAGCCTTTAACTTTACCATGATCCTTTTTATGATACTGTTATTCAAAAAGAATGGGGTCCATGGCAGACCTTCAGAAATAAGAAGGGTCTGCAGTTCTTAGCTGAGAAATCCATGTTCTTGGTTTTATTTCCTAGTAAAAATTAGAAAAAAATATATTGGTACATGTATAGAACATGGCATTGTTTAAAATATTATTTTTATCCATATTTGGCAATTGTGTGCTTGGCGTTTATTTGATGACAAATGAGCATGAAACTTTAGCAAAACAATAGCAAACTACTAAACGTAAAAGTTCCCTAGTAAAATCTCACAACAGCCAATAAATGCTGGGGATTGATTGCAGAGTTCTGTTAAAGGATATGCAACTGATTTTATATCGGGTGTCTCACTCGGGGCTGAACACAGTGTTTCATTCATAACTTGAACACTCATAAAGTTATGGCAATAAAAAATAGAGTGATTTTAGCTCTGATCATGAAAAGTCAGGTGACATCATAAACAAATGTTGGAAACAAACCGCGAACCATGAAATAGCCAGGGGAACAATCCCCAATCCCTTCATCATGAATTAAGCATCAGTCAGTCACTCCTTGTTGGAAAGACTTGTCCTCTGCCCCCCTCCATGAATTTTCATACTTAAGGTGTCTCTTATGTCCTGTGTCCATCAGTCTGTCAGTTGACCCCTGCCTTTTCTCCAGAAACCCTTCCATTACTGCTGTGTTTCAAATTCAAAAGCTCTTTGCCTGTATGTTGAGTCAGCAAAAGGTCCACTCAATGCCAGTATTGCATTAAGCAAAGGACCCTAGATCGGCACTCAGTGGTTGATACAGTCAGCATGACACTGGCCATCTTAAATTCCCAGAACATTACATGGTATCCAATTTAGACTGGGCCTACACTAAGTTAATTGAAAAAAAAAATATATGATTTAAGTGTTTATGTGAACCAAGAACTCTTTGCCTTTTAAGCAAAAAATTTGGGGTAAAGTAAAGGACCCTTTTCCACGCCTTTAGGCATATAGGGCTAGACCTATATTTTATAGACCAATCGGCACAAGATGGGTGATGTGGTCAGCATTACACCGGTCGCCTTTACTTCCTGGGACTGCACCCAGTACCCACTCAAGGCTGGGTCGACTTGGGAGCCAAGGTCATTTTTTTTTTGGAAAAAGTCCAGCTCCGCTAGGGAGCAAACCTACGACCTTCTGATCCACAGTCTAGCCACTCCGCCATGACGACTCCCCAACAATTTTGGAGTAGA